CTAAATCCTTTATCTGTCTGTTTGGCAGCCCTGGCTGCAGTAGTTAGCAAATGAGTGACACTTTTCCTGGCTCATTAATTAGATTTACTGAGCTGAGTACTTGCTGCAGCGGCAAGGGTCTGCACAAGGCAGTTCTGTATTTTATTTCTGAGAAATTTGGGATTTAAAAAAAAAAACAAACCACTTCCAGGGCAGTTCTGGTCCCAGTGGTCAAATCCACAGCTCCCCTGCTTGCACTGCTGCTGGGAACACGTGGTTTTCTGCTTTATTTCTGCAATTTGCTGCTGCATGGGCAGTTCTGGCTGTGTGTCATTGTTTTGCTGCTCGGAGAGTTTGAGGATGGGTGGCTGGGTGCCCGTGGCAGGATATCTTGGTTAAGGCAAGTGGTTCTTGCGGGTTAGAAATAACCTCTGTGAGGAATTTTATTATAAAAATGCTTTTTTGGCATGTCCTGCTCTGCCAGCTTTGCCTGCCAGGTTTATAAATGGGACTGGGAGGGTTAGAGCAGGAGATAAAAATGAGGGGATGAAAGAAAGTTCTGCTTCACCTTTACCTTTGCAGCTGAGGGCCTGTGTTGAGCAGGAGCCTCTGCTGCTCCTGCTGGAGGGGAAACTGAGGCACAGAGAGGTCTCACCCAACTCTGGGCCTCGAATGTGGACTCGTGGTTCCCTCTGGGAGCACTGGACACCACCAGTTTGTGCTCTGTTGGTTTAGGGGTGACGAGTGCTGGGGCTCTGTCCTCCCTGGCAGGCGCTGGGACACCCCGGGATGCTCCCGGTGCTGCCGAGTTACAGATCCAGCTGGGGCAGGGAAGAACCCAAGGAACTCTTTGGAACACGGAGCTTCAGGAGACCCCCCAAGCTGGAAGAAGAGCTCCTCAGCCTCCGAACGCCACGGGCAAGCGGCCGATTTCTGGTTTTGCGGTGTTTATGCCAAGGAGCTCCAGCGCTGCGCGGGGCCGGAGCTGCCGCGGTCCTGGCAGGAGCTGTGCGGGCACAGAGCCGGGGAGAAGAGCAGGAGAACCCCAGAGGTGTCAGAGCCGTGAGCAGGAGCCCTTTGCACTTCTGCCCCCGGGAGCCCCACCGGCACGGGGAATTGCCGCTAATTGGCTGTCCCTAATAGCGCAGGGGTCTGGCCGGCTAATTAGCCGGGCCTTTAGAGCTCCCGTGTTAGTTTGGAGATGCGGGATATCCCGGGGGAGCTGCGCTTCCCGGGAGGTGACCCCCGCCAGCCCCGGCATCCTTTGATCCGTGCCGGGGATCGCACCCCCAGCCCGAGCTCCGCAAAACAACCAAACAACCAAATAACCAAATAACCAAACAACCAAACAACCAAATAACCAAACAACCAAACAACCAAACAACCAAATAACCAAACAACCAAACAACCAAATAACCAAATAACCAAATAACCAAACAACCAAATAACCCAATAACCAAATAACCAAACAACCAAACAACCAAATAACCCAATAACCAAATAACCCAATAACCCCGCGGCCGGAGCGAGTGGCGTTCGGGAGCCCCAGGGTGCAGGAACAACGCCGGGTGTCCCCGCAGGTAGGAGAGAAGGGGACGAGCTGCTGCCAGCCCGGCAGTGCTGGGCTGGGCAGTCGGGATGTGCCGTGAGCCTCCTCTGTGCTGGCAGTGACCTCCCTTGGCTCCACCAAGGCTGTTTCTAAATAATTAAATGTTTAAAAAAGCTTGTCCAGGCACCTCACAGACCCAGTCCCGAGTGCCCAGCTGAATCCAGGTGTGGCCTGAGCTGAGTGCTGCAGTTAAAATAGAAAAGGTGGAGAAGCTGAGGCGAGCACGGGACCGCTCTGGTGGCTGGATTTTAGAGCAGCTCAGGGCTCAAGGTGCCCTCGGGATCCCAGGATGGAGCAGGCTGGGAGGGATCCCAGGGGCTCATCTCCAGCAGGGCCATCCCAGAGCTCAGGGCACGGGGTTGTGTCCAGGCACCTCTGGAATATCCCCAGGGAGGAGACTCCAGCCCCTCTCTGCTCTCTGCCTCCCGTGCAGGGGAATTGCTGGAAGTTCCCCACTCTGCCCCCGTGTTTCACCTGCCCTCACACCGGTTAAAGCCCTCCCTGGTCCCAGGGAGCCGCCAGTGTTTCCACGGGGAGTGGGAATGAGGGGCAGTGCCTGGGAGCTGCGCACACACAGGGGCGCACCTGGAGCTCCAGGGATGCCTCAGGGATGCTGCAGGAGGGGAAAGCAGCACAGGAACCTCCCTGGGGGCAGGTTCCCACCTGGGTACCGCTGCTCCCAGGGAGAGCTGGCCCGCTGGGGCTCGCTCTTTGCCATGTCAGCCTAAACTGGTGTGTGGAGCAAAATGTCCCCGTTGATCAGGAGGGAGAAGTTTCATTTTTGTTTGGCTTGATTTTTGCTTTTTGAATCATAGGCAGATGAGGGCAAACACTGTTTTGAAATGATGAGTTGCAAGGTTTTGTTCTGACTCCTTGAGACTCTCCACGTCTCTCCTTGTGCACCCTCTGGGCAGATTGATATTTTTGACATCCTCTCCATTCACCGAAGAATTCCTCACCTCAGAACAGTTTCTCGGATCATTTTGTTATTTTTGCTGAGTCTCTTGCAGCCCTGATTTCGCTCCTCCTGTGGTTCAGTTTGCTGTTTTGGCTGCACACCCTTGGGACAGCTCAATCTTAAATTCCAGGTCAGGCATCTCCGTTATCACCAGGGCTGCTCCTGCGCAGGGACGTGGCAAAGGCGCCTCCTCGGCAGCTGGTTCAGGATGCTGGGAGTGCTGGGAGGGCTGGGAGTCTGCTCCTGATGCCCCAGCAGCCTCCCTGTGCCTTCACCAGCTGCAGGACAGCACATCCCAGAGCCAAGGCAGCTGAGGTGAGCAGTGCTGGGACCTGCTCCCGATATTTTGGATTTTTTTCCTTTCTTTCAGTGGAGCCTTTATCCCCAAATCTCCCAAACAAAGGCAGTTACACTGGGGAGCTGCTTTTGTTTGTTGGCACCTCTCGGGTTTATTTTTCTGGCGTTCACAGATCCTTCACCTCCCAAAGCCAGCCTTAAGCTCTGGCTGCTAACTCAGGCGATCTTGGGGCTGGGATTTGGGAAATCCCATTGAATAACTCCCCTGTGCAGCGACACCACGGGCTCGGATGGAGGCCTTTGAGTGGGGCTGACTCGTCTTAGGCTTTGTGAGGCTCCTGTGGGTTTCCTGACCTGATCCCGGGGCCGTGCCGGGAGGGGCTGGCGATGAAACCACCGGCGCTGAGCGGGCAGAGCCGCTGCGGGCTCCGGGCCTCCCTCCGTGCAGCCGGGCCCGGGATCTGCCGTGGCGTGGCTCGGGGTTACGCGATGCTGGGCACCCCGAATTCTCCCTCTGCAGTTGGGGCTCTTTGAGAACTCCCCAATTCTCCCTCTGCAGCTGGGGCTCTTTGAGAACTCCCCAATTCTCCCTCCGTAGTTGGGGCTCTTTGAGAGCTCCCCCCAATTCTCCCTCTGCAGCTGGGGCTCTTTGAGAGCTCCCCAATTCTCGCATTTTGGGTACAAATGAGGCGTTGCAGTTCACAAAGGCTGCCTGGCCTGGGCTTGCTCCTGTTCTTTCTCTCAAGGCTGATACTCTCCTCTTCCCAAAGCACCATTTCCCACTAATAACTCAGGATTTCATTTCCTCCTGCGGGCAGTGGGATGTCCCGTGGCGTTCCTGCCCCTCAGCACTGTTACCCAGCAGGCACAGGCGCTGTTGTTATGCCAGAAGTAGATTTTATTCTTGTGCCAGTTTTATCTTCTGCTTTGAGATGAAATCACTGCCTAAGGCGCTCTTTGGGAGCGGTTCTCTGTGTTCCTCTGCTGCCTCTTCCCCCGCTGGCTCAGGGAGTGGGGACAGCCCGGAGTGAGGGTTTGCAGCCTGGGGAGGGAAGGTCCCTCAGGGTCCCTGCCGTGCTGTGGGGTGTCCTCAGCTCAGTGTCACAGCAGCCCCTGCCCCGCTCAGTGGGGCAGGAGCCGGGTTTGGACGGCACAGGCTCCTCTGCAGGCCCCTGAGAGGATGTTTGTCAAAGCAGCTGCCCCGGCTCCCCTGGTACCCTGCCTTGCTGTGGTTTGAGCAAGCATCTTATCAGCCTCATCTCCTGCTCTGTGCAGAGCTCTCGCTTGACAAACACCGAGGTGAAGCTTTTCTTGAAAATCGCAGCTTTCTCCCCGCACTGCCCCGTGCCCTACAAAGGCTTCCTCCGCCTGCTCCCTCCCTCGCTCCGGCTTTCTATCTTTGGCTTCTCTCTGAGGTGGAGGGGAGGCAGTAAAATCTTGCAAGCAAACAGCTGCAACCCAAGATTTTCTTCTGTAATCTAAGAAAAACAGTTTCACTGGAGGAGCAGGTACCAGGCACGTGCTGCTGCACTGCCGGGCAGGGCTCGGTGTCCCGGGGCAGGGCTCGGTGTCCTGGGCAGGGCTCGGTGTCAGGGCCAGGGCTCGGTGTCCCGGGCAGGGCTCGGTGTCCCGGGGCAGGGCTCGGTGTCCCGGGCAGGGCTCGGTGTCCCGGGCAGGGCTCGGTGTCCAGGGCAGGGCTCGGTGTCCCGGGGCAGGGCTCCATGTCCAGCTCTTCCTCTGCAGTGAGTCTGCATCTCCCACAGCTCCTGTCCTGCCCCTTCGCAGGATGAGCTGGAGGAGGCAGAAAGCTGAGATGGAGCTCAGAGGGGTTGATGATCCTCCTTTCTGAGGGTCTCACCTTGAAATCAGCTCTGGGTAGGATCCCTTTAAACCAAACGAAGCGATTTTCCGTCTGCTGCAGCATCAGCCCAAGCTCCTGCTTCCTTCAGCCTCATCAGGCTTCTTGTTCTGCGTCCCTGGTGCCCAAAGCCCTCCAGGTGCTGAGGCACATCCTGGCACCAGCCCGGGCGAGGGATCCGTGTCTCTCCACCCACTGCCACTGTTCCCAACCTGGGCAGCGCCTTCAGAGCTCTCCCGAGGGCCAAGGGCTTTGTTTTCCCTCTCCTGTTTCCTGCCCAGGATGCTCAGCCCCAGAACAATCGGGGCAGGAAAGGGCATTGTCCTCACCCGAGGGTAGCCGGGGTCTTTCCCCGGTGCCGGTGGAGCTGCAGGGTCCCCTCCGGACAGGTCCTTGTCAGGACTTTCCCCTCCGGACAGGTCCTTGTCAGGACTTTCCGTCCCCAGGAGATGCTGCCGGGATGTGCCGTGGGAGGGGAGATCTCAGCTCGTTCCGTGTCTGCCTGGCCCCGCTCTCCTGGGCTTTGGAGCCTTTCCTGCCTCCCCAGGCTGCGGGGGTTTGCTGAGCTGGGGGGTGAGAGGTGTCCTGCAAGGGGGTCTGATACTCTTCACTCCTTCATTTTGGCTCTTTGAGCCCTTCCCTCTGTCCTGGGCTCCCCCACTGCAGAGGGAGCTCAGGGGAGTCCTTTGGGGGCTGGAGATGGGGCTCGGGTGGACCCCAAGCCAAGAAAAGGGATTTTCCTTGCTGGAAGGGCAGCTCTGGGACCTTCTGCTCCTGGGCAGGGAGCAGATCCTGGGCAGCAGCAAAGCCCTGGAAGGGAAAGGTCCTGGGGCACTGGGGCAAGAGGGGGAACCCCAGTGGGTCCCAGCTGAGCAGAAAGTCCTTGTCAGCAAAGTCCTTGTCCCCAAGGCTTCCCGTGACCTCTGGTGGCTTCACAGCTCAGCAGGAAAAGAAGTTTTTTGTTGGTAATTATTTTTCATACTGTTTAAAAACTGTTTTTTTTTTTCATATTTACAAACATTGTGCAGGACAAACGAAAACCTAAACCAGTGGTGAGCAGGTTCCCACTTCCCACCAAAGGGTAAATGTTTACTGGCTTGGTGTTAATTAAAAGAAATATTTAATTTGTCTGTTCACCTTTGTGTCCCACAGAGATGAATGAAGCCTCTTAACTAAGCAATCCTGGATGGAAATTCCTCAAGGGTCTGGCACCCATGCAAGGAGAATTTCACAAATAATCCTAGGGTACTTCCCAAGCTGAGCTTTGGTGTCCTGGGCCTTCTCTCACTCACTTTAATCAGGGCTTTTTTAGAAAATAATTGGTTAGAAATTTATTACAATAACAATGAATAATTAAAATTTAAAATAATGTATAATAATTATTATAAATTGCCCTTTTGGGCACTCACACCTTCAGAGGGGATGGGTTTAACCTTGCCCTGAGCCCTGATGCTGGCAATTCTTGGGCATCTGTTGAAAATGTGATAAAACCTGGAGGCAGCTGGGTTTCTCTGAGGCCTCGGGGCTCTTAAAACCAGGAGCTGTCCCTGCAGTGTGGAGAGGGCTGGGGCATCACCGGGGTGGTGCACATGGAGCTGCTCAACAGCCTCATAAAAGCAAAGCATTTCCCAAACCCTTGACCTCAGCACTTGTTTTTATTGGTGTTTTCAGGATGCTTACCAGGGTTCTGAAAGTCAGATTACATTCTGCAGAGCTGCCCCTGGCTGCTCAGTGTGGGTGGCAGGGCGAGGAGGGGACGGCAGAAAAGGTGACAGAGTTTCTGCTCCGCTGTGGTGGCGAGGCAAGGCCTTTCCCACGGGAAATGCTTCCCTAAGCACTGCCCGGGAGAGGAGCTCGGGCTGTGGTCCGTGGGCACTGCCCGGGAGAGGAGCTCGGGCTGTGGTCCGTGGCACAGCAGGAAAAGCCGCCCGAGGAGCGCGTTCTGCGGGCTGGAGCTCACAGCAGCATCCCGGGGCTGTTTCGTTTGCCATTCCCTGCCCGCTGTGCGCCAGGACGCACGCAGGGACGGCGGGGCTGGAGCAGAGCTGGGATGTGACAGGGCTGCGGGCACAATGTCACAATGTCCTCGCAGGCTGGGCTCACGTCCCCTCAGTGTTTTCCACCATTGCCACAAGGGCACGGGGACCTTTCCTTCACGGAGGCTGTGTGGTGGCAAGGGGACAGTTCTGCACCGCTCGGGGTGGGTTTGTGACCATCACCCGTAACCCTGGAGCCATCACGGGCAGCCCTTTATTAACTCTGCTCCTTCTTTCCCCTTGGGTTCAGGAGATGAATGAAAATGCAGCACACCACGTGCACGGAGGACAGGATCCACCACGCGCTGGAGAGGTGTCTGCACGGGCTGGGCAGGGACGCTGCGTCCAGCAGATGGGCTGGTAGGTGACCTGAGAGCCCCGGCCTCCCCCTGGATCCCCCCAGCCCTGCTGGGTCTCTCCCAGGACTCTCTGGCTGAGAGGGAGCTGCTGCTGCTGCTGCTGCTGCTGCTGCTGCTGAGGCCTTTCCCTTGCAGAGTCAGTCAGAGGGAGCTCCAGCCTGGCCAGTCCTCCGGGTGTTCTGCTGGTGCTGCAGGACCCTGAGAAGGTCCTGGCAGGTCTGGCCCGTGCTGCCAGCTGTCCCTGAGTGAGCTGGGGACAGGAGAAGGCTTTTCCCAGCCCAGGAGAGGCTCTGTGCAATCAGCCAGCCGCCCCAAGGCGGGGTGTGCCCCTGCTGCATTGTCACACTCAGCACAGGGACCTGGTATCAGCCTGGCCCTGCCTCAGACACCGTGCTGGCCTGAAGAGCTGAGCCTTGTTCGGGTGCTGTGGAGGAACTGGGGCTGGCGTGGTGAGGGCAGAGCAGCCACACAGAAATAATTTCTGAAAATCATTTTGACCTTTCTGTCTCTGTGTCTATGAGCTGTGATTAAATCACGGCCAAACCCTCTTACGGATGAAAGATTCTGGGGGCTGTCAGATTCTGATTCCTTTTGGTCTGTGCAGTTCTTCCAACCCTTTCTGCTTTTCTTTTCCTCTACAAGACGAACAAAGAGATTCAGACAGGATCCCACCTGCTGCCAAATCCCAGAGGAATCCCTTTGCCATCCCCTCGCAGCCACCGGAGCCACTTCCATGGTGGAACATCACTGGGGGCTGGGCTGGGGCAGTTCTGCCCAGGACTCTGTGTCCCATTTTTCCCGGGCCCTGGGAAGGGGCCCGAAGGTGTGACCCACATTCCTGGTTCCTGGCAGCGCTTGGCACGGTTGCAGCCCTTGGCACGGTGACAGCCCCGTGCCAAGCAGGGCCCCCGTGTGCCCGAGCCCCCCTGGGCTGCGATCACCACCCATCAGCTCCATCCCAGCCCCTTGGCGCTGCTCCTTGGCCGGGGGGTTTCACACCCCGATCCCATCATTTCTGCAGCTCATTAGCAAAGATTGGGGTGGGCAGGGCTGGGGCTGTGCTGGGTCCCCGTGAGCCCCACCCCAGTGACCCCCCGGCCCCTCCTGCGGCTCTCCTGGGCTTTGCAGAAGGAGCTGACGTTCCTGGGAGGATTTCAGGAGCTTTGCACCTCAGAAATCTCCGTGCCACCATTCCTGCTCTGCCAGGAATCCGCAGCGTGCCCTGGCCGGGTGTCGGTGCCTTTGCTGTGCCCCAGCCCCGTGCTGCTGCTGGGGACCCCCAGGACCCCCCCGTGCCCTCCCGAGGGGCTGCTCCCCCTTGTCCCTGCAGCTCCCAGGAGCTGCTGTCCCCACCCCAGCCGGGCAGGGCTGGGCAGGGCTGGTCACTGCAGGGGCAGGAGGGGTTCAGGGAGAGCAGAGCTGTCCCCTGCTGCCTTTCAGAGATGTTGTCACATCCTTCCCCGAGCTCCCAATGACAGTTTCGTTATTGCTGTCCTGCCCAGGCTGTTGTTTGTGGCAGGGCTGATCCTCACAAGTCAGTGAATCCTTTCATCTTGCTCCTGGCTGGGCTGGAACCTTCGCCTTCCTCGTTTCTCACTTCTATTTCCCAATTTCTCTTTTTACCCTTTCCCCTCTTTTTACCCTTTCCATACACCAAGATAGCACACACCAAGTCACAGCTTTTTGGGCTGAGATCTTGCTGAATTTTGTAAATGATGCGAAGCTTTATTTTTCTGTGCTAACTTTCACACAAGGTTGCTCTGGAGAGGGTGAGTAATGGTTTCCAACACATTGCTCCCCCTGAGTAAGGGATGAGGAGCTGAGGGCTGTGAACTCAGCAAGGAGGAGTTGTGAGGGTTCGGCCATCCAGATTTGCAGCCTGGATGAGTCTGTGGTGAGTGTAAATACAAGATCTTCCTGCAGAAGTTATTGGAGAAACCAAATCAAAATGAATTGTCTGTGACTCATAAAAATCCCCGTTAGAAAAGTGCTTGTGAGGAAAACCTTTTCCTTGCGGGGGAACCTCTTCAGGGCTGGCTTTGTGCTGCAGGAGAGAGACCATGGTCAAATTAGAGTGTGAAAAACAAGAAAAATGTTTTATTGCTTGCTGGTGAGCAGAAAAAGGCGATTTTGGTGAGGGAGAGCCCTGGGCTTGGCTCTGGTGGTGCTGGCAGGTTTTACCCTTTGAGCTGATTTCTGCAGGCTGGTGCTGGGTTTTCCTGTGGCAATCTCTGCCCAGGCTGGGTGGCAGTACCAGGGGGTGCCCTGTGCTGGACACCCACGTCCAGCTCCGTGTCTCAGCAGCTGCAGGCTGGCTCGCTGTGCTCCCCAAGGCTGCTGTGGCTGCCAGCCGGGCCCTGCTGGCCTTGGGCACCTCCCTGAGCCAGCTGCCCGAGCTTCCCTTCCTGCTTTCCACCGCCTCTGACGGCACCAGGGGCCATGCCCAGCGCCGTGGGCACCGCTGCTGCCTTCTGCTTTGGTGCTTCTGGATTTCCGACTTGCCAGTGCCCACTCTGAGGGGAAACGCCTCCCCTGAGGCCAGGAAGGAGCTGCTCCGGGAGGCGGAGGAGGAAGAGGGCATCTCGGGGCACTTCTGAGAAAAGAAATGGCAAAGCCTCATCCTTCCGCGGCCGCCCACGGCGCTGCCGTGTGCCGTGCCCGCTCCTGGCACCGCTGGTGCTGCTGGGGATCGGAGCTGAGTCCCGGCTCTGAGCCCGGCTCCCTGAGCAGCCCCTGCCCCGCAGATCCTGCCCCACAGCCCCTGCCCCACAGCCCCTGCCCCTCAGCCCCTGCCCCACAGCCCCTGCCCCACAGCCCCTGTCCCACAGCCCCTGCCCGCTCAGGGCTTTGCTGCTCTCCTCCCCGGGAGTTTCCTGGGGCCCTCAGGGGCTCTGCCTCCCAAAGGAGTTTTCCTTCGCTCACTGCCCTGCTGGGTTTGGTCGAGTCACGCTCTGTGGGGTGCTGGGATAAACCCAGCTTAGTCCTGCCTATGCCCCAGCCCCAGCTGGGGACAGCCTGGCTGCTGGGAGTGACCGCAGGGCTGGGAGTGACCATGGCTCTGTGAGTGACCATGGGGCCATGAGTGACCATGGCTCTGGGAGTGACCATGGCTCTGTGAGTGACCATGGGGCCATGAGTGACCATGGCTCTGTGAGTGACCATGGGGCCATGAGTGACCATGGCTCTGGGAGTGACCATGGGGCCATGAGTGACCATGGCTCTGTGAGTGACCATGCCTCTGTGACTGACCATGCCTCTGTGACTGACCATGCCTCTGTGACTGACCATGCCTCTGTCCCTGCAGCCGGGCTGTGCCTGAACTGCTGGAGCCTGCAGGAGCTGGTGAGCCGGGACGCCGGTAACTACCTCATCCTGGTGGAGAAGATCCTGGGCAAGACCAAGGAGGTGAGCAGGAGCTGCGGGCTCTGAGGCGTCGGCAGCTCCGTGGCTTTGGCAAAGCTGGCCGGGGGTGCGGGCTCATTAGGTATTACTGGGGGCTGGGTGGGCTGCTGCAGAGCTCTGGGGCACCAGTGCTGGGTGTCCCACAAGGAAGAGCCCATCCCCATTGCTGGGGTAGCCCTGCAGATCCCCAGGGACGGGCTGTGATCCCCCAAACCCTGCTTGGCACCCTGCAGATCCCCAGGGACGGGCTGTGATCCCCAAGTGATCCCCCAAACCCTGCTTGGTGCTCTGCAGATCCCCAGGGATGGGCTGTGATCCCCCAAACCCTGCTTGGTGCCCTGCAGATCCCCAGGGATGGGCTGTGATCCCCCAAACCCTGCTTGGTGCCCTGCAGATCCCCAGGGACGGGCTGTGACCCCCCAAACCCTGCTTGGCGCCCTGCAGATCCCCAGGGACGGGCTGTGACCCCCCAAACCCTGCTTGGCGCCCTGCAGATCCCCAGGGACGGGCTGTGATCCCCCAAACCCTGCTTGGCACCCTGCAGATCCCCTGGCTGTCTGCTCACAGCCACTTCTGTGGCATTTCAGGCATCGGGAGCTGCCTCAAAGGTTTGGGTGCCCGGCCAGACCTGGGGGAAGACCGAGCAGGAGGCTCTGCCTGTCCCAGCCTGGTTCCTGGGGCTTTGGGGGCGGTTTTCCCGCAGGGATGAGGGAATCTCCCGGCTGTGGTGAGGGGATGGTGAGGGCTGGAGTCTCCAGGGATATTTTGGGTGGTGCTCCTGGCCAGCAGCTCACCCCTGTGCCCTCGGGCTGCTCCCACAGGTGCAGGACAAGTGTGACTACGACCTGGTGACGCCCCTGGCCCTGCTCTTCTACTCGGCCGTGCTCTGTGTAAGTGCTGAGGCTGCCCACTGATGCCAGCCCCAGGCAGGCTCCAACATCAGGGTGGCTTCAGCTGGAACGTCCCAGCCTGCTCTCATCAGTTCATCCCAGAAAGAAAGATTCTGTGTGAATCCAGAGGGATCAGGATCGAGCAACCATTGCACAAGCTGAGAGACAAAGAAAATGAGCTTTGGGGCTTTTGAAGCTATTTTTTTAAGGCTGGGCTAATCAGAAAGGGAGATGGACAATAAAAGGGAATTATTTTCTTTACCCTTTATAGTTGGGCAAAATACACGGACAACATGAATGAAAAGGAGCAGAGCCTTCCCAGGAAATACTTTTTTTATTATTATTATTCCCAGCACAATGCATCATTATCCCAAGGAAATCATTGCTGCCAGATCCTGCACGAGCACAGGCTGTGTGGAATTCATCTGTACGGCTCGTGGGGCTTAAAAAGGAATTTATACTTAGGCTTGGCCATGTGAGCCCTGCTTGGGGAGGTTGGGAAGGAGCTGTTGGAGCTCAGGGGGATCCTGTGGGTTCTTGGAGCTCAGGGGGATCCTGTGGCTTTTTGGATCTCAGGGGGATCCTGTGGCTTTTTGGAGCTCGGGGGATCCTGTGGCCCTTCCCTGGGAGGAGATGGGGTGGCACAGGGGGAGTCTCTGCTTTGCTTCCCCTCCTGCCACTGCCCCGGAGTTCCCACGCAGCACTCAGGGTCTCTGCTCCTCTCAACTCCCGTCCCTGTCCCCGCAGGCCCCTCACTTCCCACCCGGCTCTGACCTGCTCCTGAGAGCTGCCAGTGTCTACCACAGCTTCCTGACGTGGCCCGTGCCCTACTGTGACACCTTCCGGGAGCTGCTCACCTTCATCAGCAACGAGCTCAAGGCGCCAGGTGAGTGCCCCTGCCCTGCCCTGCCCTGCCCTGGGCCCTGGCAGCACCAAACCCAGCCTTGGCAGCACCAAATCCAGCCCTGGCAGCACCAAACCCAGCCCTGGCAGCACCAAACCCAGCCCTGGCAGCTCCAAACCCAGCCCTGGCAGCTCCAAACCCAGCCCTGGCAGCACCAAACGCAGCCCTGGCAGCTCCCAACCCAGCCCTGGCAGCACCAAACCCAGCCCTGGCAGCACCAAACCCAGCCCTGCCCTGGGGTTTGTCCCCTGCTGCTCCTGTCTCATTCCCCCTTCTCTTCCTGAGCCTGGGAGCGCGGTGTCCATCCCAGCCTGGGAGCTCAGTGCCCATCCCGGCTCATTCCCAGCCTGGGGGCTCAGTGTCCATCCCAGCCTGGGAGCTCAGTGTCCATCCCAGCTCATTCCCAGCCTGGGAGCTCAGTGCCCATCCCAGCTCATTCCCAGCCTGGGAGCTCGGTGTCCATCCCAGCCTGGGAGCTCAGTGTCCATCCCAGCTCATTCCCAGCCTGGGAGCTCAGTGTCCATCCCAAACCTCCCCTTTTCCAGGGGGTCGGGCCCTGCCCCCTCCCCCTGAGGAGGCTCCTGGTGCTCCAGCACAAGGTGGGAGCGGGCTGCTGTGCAGGAGCCGGGCCGGCCGCTGGCTCAGGCAGGTCCCTCGTGTGCAGGGAGCGTGCCGGGCTCCCCAGCCCTGGCTCAGGGGCAATTAGCCACATGGCTGAGCATTTCCCGGCTGGCTTTCAGTCTGCGGGGCCTTTTCCCCAGCAGAGCTCGTGCTGCTGCTCCCCCGGGCTGCCCTTTGTGTGAGGGACAGAGGGGGACAGCAGAGGGGCCATTCGTGGCCATCGGGGCGCTGCAGCCTCCGAGCTGCTGTTCCATGGAGATTTCCCGGGGCTGAGGCACTGCCTGGGTTGTTCTGCCAGCCCAGACGCTCCTTGTGACCAGCCCTGGCACATGCACGGGCAGCACCAGGGCTCCTCTTAATTAAGGGCTCCTTGTGGATGTCCTGTGGCTCCCAGTGGAGCAGCTCTTCCAATTATTTCCCAAAGCCTTTTTGCCTGCTCTCCCTGCCTCTGGGGGCTTTTGAAGAGCTGTTATCACACAGAGCACATTGCAGCCCGTGTTTGATCCTGGGCAGGGTTTGGGAGGCCTGGGAGGGGGATGCACCCGTGGCTGGGGGTGTTCCCCACCCCCCAAACTGGGAAGGTGCTCTGGGGAGCCCTGGGGGATGGGAAATGCAGGGGCTCTGTCAGGGCAGCAAGTCCTGTGAGATGGGGACTTGGGGATGGGATGAAAGGTGCTTCCACAGGAACAAAGAGATGGAAAAATCCCAACCTGTGCACTGGGAGCTCTGCACTGGCCATGGCCACCGTGGGTCTGGCTGTGTCCAGCCCCATCTCAGAGCTGCAGGGACGTGGGGACATGGGGACACTTGTGGGGCTCCCCAGCTCCCTCCTGGCTGTTTCTTGCCGTGCCCTGCTCGGGGCTGTGCTCTCCACACCTCTGCAGAGCTCTGGTGCTGGATGGGGGCGGCTGCCCCCGTTCCTGTGCCACCCCCAGAGCCCCAGGCCGTGGGAGTGGGGACTTTGGCCCCGAAGTTCCCCCTGCCAGGGCAGAGTGGATTTCCTCCTCTGCCAGAGGTGCTGTGGGGGCTGCCTCTGCTTTGGGAATCCCTCAGGGAGCTGTGTCCCCTGCTGCTCAGCTGCCAGGACCCTCCAGGCTGTTCCAGACTTGCCTCAAGGCCCCTGCCCTGCCAGGGGGCCGAGGCCAAAGCTTTTTATTGCTGTGAGGGCAAAGATTAATGAAGAATTAGCCACTGTCAATATTTGCCAAGAGCCCAACAGCTTTGATCTGCACCCTGGGGCTGGTGCCTCTGCAGGAGGGTCGGTGCCCTGTGACCTGTGTGGGTCAGGGTGGGCCCGTGGGTGCTGGGCCCCCTCCCGTGGGTGCTGGGCCCCTCCCGTGGGTGCTGGGCCCCCTCCTGTGGGTGCTGGGCCCCTTCCCATGGGTGCTGGGCTGGGGGATGCGGCTCCCTGCATGGATAAGAGCTGGAGCTGCTGATGCCATGAGGTTTTCCTGCCCTGCTGATGGGGGTGACAAGGCTCTGCTGTTGTCCCCCACTGTCCTGGGGACAGTCCCAGGTGTCCCCAGGCTGTGGCTGCCCACAGCAGGGGTGGTGGCAGTGACCTGCTGGCCCTGGGGGCTGCAGCACGTGGGAGCAGCTGGCAAACATCACCCGTGGAGTTGCCATCCGTGTGGGCAGCGGGGCAGCGGGAGCTGGGGCTGGAGCAGATCTCCTGCCCCGTCTGTGGGGGATCTCCCATCGCTCTGGGATTTACCCTTCCCATCCTGGCTTTTCCTGATCCCGGGCTGGCCCCTCAGCAGTGGCTGTGCCTTGTCCCCACCTGGGCTGGGCCTTGTCCCCACCAGGGCTGGGCCTTGTCCCCACCAGGGCTGTGCCTTGTCCCCACCAGGGCTGGGCCTTGTCCCCACCAGGGCTCTCGGTGCTGCCCCAGGGGTTCTGTCCCAGCTCCGTGCTGCGGGCACAGCAGCTCCAGGGGTTCTGTGCCAGCTCCATGTGTGGGCACAGCAGCCCCAGGGGTTCTGGTTCTGTGCCAGCTCCATGCTCCAGGCACAGCAGCCCCAGGGGTTCTGTGCTCACTGCTCTGCTCTCTCCGCAGGAATCACCTTCCAGAGGCTGGTGAGGACGGAGCAGGGGCTGCCTGTGAGGAACTGCCAGAGCTCCACGGTGTAAGTTGGCCACGGGCGCTGCTGGGGCTGGGCTCCCTGTGGCACCCCCGCGGGCTGGCACTGCTGCAGCATCTCCGGGGGCCGGGCAGGAGGGCTGGGAGGCCGGGCTGAGCTGTGGGAGGGCCGAGGAGAGCAGCCGGGGCATTTCCAGAGGCTCGGGACGGGGTCTGAGGGCTCTGTGCCGGTGACCCTGCAGGGCTGCAGAGGTGGGGAAGGCAGAGCCTCCTCCCCGGGGAGCTGCTGATCTCAGCACGCTGGAGAGCAGCTGGGACACGCTCTGATCCGCGATTTTGGGAGCCGGCAGCGAGTCCCTCCCAGCCCCTGCAGCTCTGGGCAGGCAGACTCTGCACCTCATTCGGGGCTGGACCTTTCCCTGCCCTCCTCATTTGCCAGTAGGGAGATGAGGCTGGGAACGGAGCTGGGCTCTCCTTAAAGCTTCTCCTCAGAGCTGCCCCTCAGCAGGGAGGGGTTCTGGGCTCCCTCGTGTCCAGCGGGGCCAGGCGCTGGCCGGGCCGGGCTGGCTGCTGTGGCCTGAGCGTGTCCCTGTCCCCAGGACGGTGCTGCTGCTGAACCGCTCGGAGGTGCAGAGCGAGTTCCTGTCCATCGCCCGCAGGCTGAGCTCCAGCGAGCCCCCGCGCCGCTCCACGCTGCTGCTGCTCCTCCAGCACCTCTACCAGGCCACCTTCGGCACCCGCTGCGACCTGGAGGGGCTGCACCAGCTGCTCAAGGTGGGCTGGGGCAGCGCCCGGGCAGTGCTCCGGGCAGGGGCTGTGCGTGTCTCACTCGGAATAGCGCACCAAGCAAAGCAAAAGGGTTTGGGTAACGCTTCTTGGAGCAAGAATGACATTTTCCTCTTCTCAGGTTACACCTGAGGGCTGAAGTGTTCTGCCAAGTGTGTGCAGAGGGCTCTCTCCCATTTATCCTGTCACTCCTTTCCCATCCCAAAGTGGAGAGAAGAAGGGCCCCCACATTTGAAAATCAGCAAAAGTGTTTGTTTGACCAGAGAAACACCTCGGGGAGAGGCAAAAAAACCATGAAGAAAACCCCTGGGGTGTTTTCAAAGTCATTTTTATTTTCATGAGAAAAGTTTGGGGGGACTTGAGGAGGGCGGGGCAGTGGAGGGGGGGAGTCCCCCTGTTAGCGACGCTGCCCGTGTGTTGCCTCGGTGGAGGGACCCCTGACCGTGTCCCCGCTCTGCTCCGCAGGCCAAGCCCCTGGAGGAGCTCTCGGAGCTCTACGCCAGCGCTGCCGAGGCGCAGGAGGCGGCGGCCGCCAGCCCCGACCCCGCGCTGGCCCGGGAGCGGCTCCAGGACGCGCTGCGCGACATCGCCGGTGCCGCCGCCTTCCCGGCCATCGCAGGTGATCCTCCCGCACCCATCCCTCCCGCACCCATCCCTCCCGCACCCATCCCTCCCGCACCCATCCCTCCCCTCCCCTCCCCTCCCCTCCCAGGGCCCTCTGCCCGCTCGGGCCCCGCAGCAGCCGCGGGGGAGAGGGGTTTTACAGAGCCTCAGCCGAGTGCAGCCACTGCCATAAAGAGCACGGCCCCAGGTCCTGTTTAATAACCACACCTGAGCCACAAACGCTTTCATTTAAACAGCGACCACACGAGTGGTCCGGCCCTTGAAAGCGTGAAATCAGACACCGCTGTGACCGCTGTGACCTGGTGGCTGTGGCGGTGTGAAGTGTCCCCTTGTCCTGCAGCTGAGGACAGCAGCCCCGGGGCTCAGCGTGCCCTGGGCTGCCCAGGACACGCCGGGGTGGGTGGCACCTCCCAGGCCAGGGGAACTGGCAGGGGTGGCCCTGGGGGACCCTCAAACCAACCTCTGTCCCTCCTCTCTCCCCAGGCGAGGCCCAGCCCCGCAAGCTGCACCCCTTCCCCATCCCCCCCGCTCGCTGCTACACCTACAGCTGGGACCAGGACAACTTCGGTGAGTCGGGGCCTTTGCTGAGCTCTCAGCTGGGCCCCGGAGCAGCTTTGGAGAAGTAGAAGGTTCCCCTTCTGCTGAGCTGGTGCTTCCCCATTCCTGGAAGGACCTTGCCTGTTCTTGGGACGGCTCCGTGTTCTCCCCTGCTGGCCCCGGCAAGTGCGAGCAGAGCTCTGGGCCAGCCCTGACAGGGAGCCGGGGTGGGTCAGTCTGGGGTTTGAACAGCCAAAGGCTCGGCTTTGCTCCCTTTAAACCTGGATCAGACGTGAGGATGTGGTGAAAGCTGGGTGGGAAGGAAACAAAAGCCCAAGTGGAGTTTGCCTTTGGAGAACCCAGGCAGAACCTCGAGGAGAGAAATGCAATTTTCTTTGCCAAGCTGAGCCTTTTGTGGAAAATGAAAATCATTGGGCAGGAGGGTTCCAGCTCCTTGCTTGACACCGGGACGGAGGAGAGCTCTGGCCATGAGGAGTGGCAGCGGTGTCGCGGGTCACCACGTTTGCAGTGGCTCTGCTGGAGCCCGTGGCAGACACCTCCTCCCTCTGGCTGCTTTCAGACATCCTCAACGATGTCCTCAGCAAGGAGTGCAGCATCGCTGAGCCCCTGGCCTCAGAGAACGAGGAGGAGGATGAGGATGAGGAGGAGGATGAGGAGGAGGAGGATGTGGAGCCGGACGGCGGCTCCCCCGAGCAGGACTCGCTGCTGGCCCCGCTCTCTGCCATCTCCAGTGACTCTGTGTGCTCCGCGCTGTCCGAGGAGGGCTCCAGGCCCCCGCGGCTGTCCCTCCTCGCCTCCTCCAAGGAGTCCATCTCGGAGCTGACGGCGGTCTCCAGGAAGTCCCTGAAGTCCTTCGTGTCCAGCCTGAAGGACTGCATGGACAGCGGCTACGCCGAGGACAGCGACGAGAGCCCGCTGGACACGGCGGGCAGGCCGGACGGGCCGGCCAAGCAGCGGCAGTCGCTGACCGACCGGCTGTACCGCCTGCTGCGGAGCACGGGCCGGCAGCTGGGGCGGCACCGGGACCGGCCGGGGCCGCGCTCGCCGCCGCTGCGGCGCGCCGAGAGCCTGTGCGCGCCCCCGGCGCCGCCGCGCGTGCCCGCGCGCTCCCGCCGCGCGCTCTCGCTGCCGCAGCACGGCCCGGCCCAGCGCTGGCCCGGCCCGCTCGCCCCGCGGGCACCGGGGCTGCCCCGGCGGCCGCTGCCCGGCGGCGGCGGGGAGGCGGCGGGCACGCTGCGCGTGGTGGTGTTCGGCTCGGACCGCATCTCGGGCAAGCTGGCCCGCGCCTACAGCCGCCTCAGGTGAGCCTCTGCGGGGCCGCGGGACCGGCCCGGCCCGGCCCGGCTCGGCTCAGCCCCTCTGCGCCTCCCCAGGCTGAAGGAGAGCTCCTGCCCCTCGCTGACGCGCTACTTCAGGCTGCAGTTCTTCTACGTGCCCGTGAAGAGGAGCGGCGCGGCCCCTTGCGCCCCGCAGAGCCATCAGCATCACCCCGCGCCGTCCCCGGGGGAGCCCCCGGCCCGGCCGCAGGTGGGTGTGTGCTGCCCGGGGCTCGGCCCGGCCCGGGGGTGCCCAGGGAGGTGGGGCAGGCCGGGGGGGCCTCGGGGTGACCCCGGTGTCCGCTCTCAGGACCCCTCCCCGGCGGGGATGGAGAGCAGCACCAATGACATCTCCCGCTACATCGGCCTGCTGGACCCCTGGTACGAGCGCAACGTGCTGGGGCTGCTGAACCTGCCCATGGGCGTCCTGTGCCAGGTGCGTGCGTGCCAGGGGCAGGGCGGGCTGTGCCCCCTCCCCAGGGAGCCGTCTGGAGAGCCTCCTGCCGTGCCACACGGACCCGGGATGCGGCCGGGGCTCCTGGTGGTCAGCGGGAGGGTCCCGTGCCCAGCGGGGTGGGTGGGCAGTTGTGCTCGAGGTGCCACCTCCCCCATCACCTTTCTGACCCCTTCTGCCGCCCCAGTGTGCCAAGTCCGAGGCTGAGCCCCAGGAGGACTCCCGGGAGCAGCTGCCCATCCTGGCGGACATGATCCTCTACTACTGCCGCTTCGCCACGCGCCCCGTGCCGCTGCAGCTCTACCACACCGAGGTGGGCAGCGGGAAGGGAGGAGCGGCTCTGCCTGTGCCTCGGTCCCCTCTGGTCCCCTGCGTGTCCCTGGTGCCCTGGCTGGCGCTCCTGGCTCAGGACTGAGAGCAGCTCCTGCCCTGCCCATGAGGACCCACGAGCAGTTCTCCACCCCGGTGCCGTTCCCCACGCACAAAGCGGTGCCTGGCAGCGCTGCCAGCTTTTCCACGCTGCTGGAATCTCTCCCGAGCTCTGCTTCCCAAAGAAGCCTCTCCATGAGGCGACTTTTCCTCACCCCGCTGTGTGCCTGCTGTGGTGGGGACGGCTGCATTTGGGGCTGCAGCCCCTGCTTTGGGGCTCTGGCTGGGGACCAGCTGCAGCAGGGCTTGCTGAGCAGAGCCACGCAGGATTTGTGCTCCCAAAGCAACTCCCAGACCCTGCTGTTGGCTCGCTGTGGGTTTTTCCCAGTGGAGTTTTAAGTGAGAACGAGGGTGTTGGGTTGTTTGGGGATCTGTTCAAACAGTCTGAAGTCCAGCAAAAGGCAGGCACCACCCCAAGCGGCTGCTGAAAGGTGCTTTGAGAACGTGGAAGGATTTTCCCCAGCTGACCCGTTCCCTAAGGACTGAGAGGGGTGGAGACTGCCTGGCCGGGCTGGGTCCCCTCACCCCCACGTGTCCCTCTTGTCCCGCTGGCAGCTCACCTTCATCGGGGGGGAGAAGAGGACCGAGGTCTTCATCCACTCCCTGGAGCTGGGGCACTCAGCAGCCACCAGGGCCATCAAGGCCTCAGGTCTGTAGCTGCTCCTGCAGCCCCGCCTGCCCCGGGGGTCTGAAACTGGGAAGGGGAGGGGAGGGGAGGGGAGGGGAGGGGAGGGAAGGGGAAGGGAAGGGAAGGGAAGGGAAGGGAAGGGAAGGGAAGGGAAGGGAAGGAAGGGAAGGGAAGGGAAGGGAAGGGAAGGGAAGGGAAGGGAAGGGAAGGGAAGGGAAGGGAAGGGAAGGGAAGGGAAGGGAAGGGAAGGGAAGGGAAGGGAAGGGAAGGGAAGGGAAGGGAAGGGAAGGGAAGGAAGGGAAGGGAAGGGAAGGGAAGGAAGGGAAGGGAAGGGAAGGGAAGGGAAGGGAAGGGAAGGGAAGGGAAGGGAAGGGAAGGGAAGGGAAGGGAAGGCTGCAGGAGGTGTCTGAGCCAGGATCCAGACAGCTCTGCTCTGCTTTGGGAGAGAAACATCCCAGTCTTGCATCCCCTCCAGGAATGAAACCATGGCAATGCCTGATTGTTTGTGCTGCTCGGAACTCTAGAATGGATTTACAATAAAACACCTCCAAGCCCGTTTCCTTCCTCCCCTCAGCACCTGCCAAACGCAGCTCTTTATCTTTCCTTGCTACTGCTTGCTCATTGTGCTTTGCCCAAAGTGTCATTGACAAAATCCCTCTTGCCATCTCCTTGTTTGGCTGGGCAAAGCCAGGTTTGTGCGTGTGCTTGGAGCCTTCTGCGTGGCATTTTTTGTACTTTTGTGTTATATTTATAACCTAGTGATATAAGAGAGGAGGCAGCGGCAGGGACGTGTGGCTGCAGTTCCTCCGGCACCCAGCCCGGGATGCTCTGGTGAAGTGCGGCTCGCACGGACCTCTCATGGCCAGCCCCCAAAACTGCGCCTGAACGCGTTCCTTGTGGCTTTAGCCAGCGGCTTTGCTGGGAGCTCCATCTGTCCTTCGAAGCAGAGCCCATAAAATTCCCCCTCCCTGCTCCCCCAAAGCCAGGCTTGGACAAAGAGCTCTTCCCCCCAACCCATGGAACCTCCAGTGCTGAATCCAGTGTTTCCCCTTGGCTTGTCTGGCACCGCTTCACAGCTGCAAAAAATTATCTGGGAGGAAAAACCAGTTAGAAGGTGTCAGGCCCAGTGTGTCAGGGCGGTAAGGTGGGCAGAAACCTGCCTGAACAAACAGCAGCTGCCTGTGGCCTTTACTGCTCTGTTTTCCCTGAGCTCTGACCCCTCTGCACCGGCTCAGCCAGAGCCACTGTCAGTTCTGCAGAGAGGTTTTGTGCTGTAAATCCTCTCTGGATTCTTTGTTTTCTGCAGCTTTTAAGGCACCTTTTCTCTGTTTTGCCTTTTTGCCCCACAGCTGTGCTCAGCAAGCCCTTTTCCCCTTTCTGCAGGCCTGGGTGTGCTGCTGTGCCAGCAGCCAGGGAAGGCTGGGGATGAGAAATGTGATGTTTGCTCCTTGTTTCCTGCAGGCCCAGGCAGCAAAAGGCTGGGAATCGATGGAGACAGGGAAGCAATCCCACTGACACTACAGATTGCATACAGCAAGGTCTGTGCTGGCACTGCTGGGGCACCTCCAGAGCTGGGGACAGCTCTGGGACACTCATGGCAAGGACCTGGAGGGGCTGGAGCGTGTCCATGGCAGGGAACAGAGCTGGGGAAGGGAATGGAGCACCGGAGGGGCTGAGGGAGCTGGGAAGGGGCTCAGGCTGGAGAAAAGGAGGCTCAGGGGGGACCTTGTGGCTCTGCACAGCTCCTGCCAGGAGGGGACAGCCCGGGGGGATCGGGCTCTGCTCCAGGGAAGGGACAGGAGGAGAGGGAACGGCCTCGAGCTGCACCACAGGAAGTTTAGATGGGATATTAGAGAATATTTCTTCACTGAAAGGGTTTTCCAGCCCTGGCACAGCTGTGCAGGGCAGTGGTGGAGTCACCATCCCTGGGGATGTTTAAAAGACGTGGGGTGGGTGCTTAAGGACTTGGCAGGGTTGGACTTAGGGCTGGACTTGACCTGAAAGGCCTTTTCCAAGCCGTGTGCTTCTCTCTGGCTGCTCCCTGCAGACGGCTGCCAGCGGCAGGAGCCACTGGAATGACGTGGAGAAGGTCTGCACGTCCGTCAGGCTCAGCAAGGCCTGCAGGAGGCACGAGGAGCTCGGTGGGTACGGGGGCTGTGCCCAGGGCAGGGTGGGGGGCGCTGGAAAATGAGCGAGGTGAGAATGCAGGAGATGTGTGGGAGTCTCCTGATGTTCCCTCAGCTGTGCTGTAGTCCTTGGGTGTGTGCCAGTCCTCAGCACCACAGCAGGGACAGAGGACATTCCTGTCCCACTGTCCCAAAGCTTCCAGCTGGAAAAACACCCACTAGGATGATGCTGTTGAGGCAGGACGGGAACGAAAAGACTCTGACTCCAAAGGCTGCTGAGAGTAAAACTCCAATTTTATTCAAAATGCACCACTCTTTATACAGAGCTTAGTGCAGACCAACTCCGTTGGTCCTGAAGTGAAAACAATTCAAAACATTGGTGTACAGTGCTTGACACACAGTGATAGAACATAACTATAAACAATGTGAAAACAAGAGAGATAAAGAATTATTTACATTCTTTTCCAACTCTTTCCCAGGCTTCTGCCTGGCTTGAAACTCCTGTTTCTCTCTTTGAGTCTGAGACCCGCACTAGGGCTGGGGCTGCAGCCTGGTTCCCTTCCTGCCGCTCACACACAGCCCCAGCTGCCCGCCTTGGCCTCAGAAGCCTTTGTTCCAATCAGGTTTCCAACTAATCAAGCTCTGAGCCTTTGAAAAGCTCCAAGGCTCTTGGTCATGTGTGTACTTGGTTTGTTCTTGTTTAAGAGCTGCTGCTTTGGCCGTCAGACACGTCCAGTTCTGAGACAACTGGGGGGTTTTGGGTCCTTTTCCCTCGTGTGCCCGGTGCCTGGCAGGTGTTTGCCAGCTGGATAATCAGGGGAACGGGTGACAGACATCCCTGCGTGCTCCGTGGAGCTCCACATGTCCCTCGTGCCCCTCCCCATCCATGGAGCCATGCAGCCAAATCCTGGGAGAATCAGGAACGGGTTTCTCGCCCCCTCTGGATGTTGGGGTGGATGCTCCTGCTCTAGTTCAGGGTTTGCATCAGGGCACCCTCAGCTCCTCTCTGGGGAGAAAGCTCTCCGAGGATGCCCGTCCTTCCGAGAGGAATGCGGTGCCCTTGGCCCCGGTTCAGTTTGGCCAGAGGATGTCAGTGTAATTCCAGGAGAGGAGCTCCAGCGGGCTCGGGAGAGGCCCCACGGGGAGAGCCGGAGTCCTGCGGGACGGGCACTGCTTCTGCTGCTGTTTCCATGTTGGCTCCCGCTGTGCTTGGGAAGCAGCTGGAGTTAGAGGACCCCCAGCAGGAGGGGAGGAAAGCCGGGGCTGCTGCAGTGCATCCCCAGCAGTGGGGTCCTGCTGGAGCTCCGCTCTGGGGTGCTTTGGGAGGTGCAGGGACCACCTGGGCTCCCAGCAGAGCCCCAGGCCATGGCAGCTCCCTTCTCTGCAGCCGCCAAGACAGAATGTCTCAACCTAACCATGACCGAGGTGGTCAAGAGGCAGAACTCCAAATCCAAGAAAAGTTTCAATCAGGTAACTCCAACCCTGCAGCTTTTACATCTGGGGAGGTGAGGTTGGCCTGGCCCAGCTGGGAGAGGAGCAGGGCTGGAGGGAGCAGCTGCCTGGGGCATCCCTTTGCTGCTGCCCTGGTCCTGCCCCCGGTCCTGCCCCCAGTCCTGCCCCCCAGTCCTGCCCCCCAGTCCTGCCCCTGGTCCTGCCCCCAGTCCTGCCCCCATCCTGCCCCCCATCCTACCCCCAGTCCTGCCCCTGGTCCTGCCCCCGGTCCTGCCCCCGGTCCTGCCCCCCGCTGCCCTGCCCAGCCCAGGGAAGGCGCTGAGGCAGCCGCTCCCTCACTGCAGCCTTTCCTCCCAGCAGATCAGCGTGTCCCAGATCAAAGTGGACAAGGCCCAGATCATCGGGGTTCAGTCCTCCTTCGCCGTGTGCCTGGACCAGGACGAGCAGAAGATCCTGCAGAGTGTGACCAGGTGGGAACTACAGCCAGAGCTGCTGGGATGGGGCAGCCAGACCCACCCATCTGAGCCCCAGGCTCTGAGCTCAGCCTGGATGGATGGTCCTGCTCAGATCCCAGCAGCCCTGTTCCCATTCCTGCTGGGCTCTCAGCCCTGTTCCCATTCCTGCTGGGTTCTCAGCCCCATTCCCATTCCTGCTGGGTTCTCAGCCCCATTCCTGTTCCCGCTGGGCTCTCAGCCCCATTCCCATTCCCGCTGGGCTCCCAGCCCCGTTCCCGCTGCCCCTGAGGTTTCTCAGCCCCGTTCCCGCTGGGCTCCCAACCCTGTTCCCGCTGCCCCTGAGGGCTCTCAGCCCACACCTCTCTCAGAGGTTGTTTCCTGCTGTTCCCCTGCAGGTGTGAGATCTCCGTGTGCTACAAGCCCAGGGACTGTGACCCCCTGGCACCGAGGGGCTCCCCTGTGGCTCCCCAGGACCCCTCCGAGTTCCAGTCCCTGCTGTGTTTGCCCATTGCCACCTTCAGTGGGGCCCTGCCCTAGAGGAGCCGTGTCCCTGCAGAGCAGGCGCCTTCCCACGCCAGCCCAGGCTCAGGAGAAGGAACAGGACCCCCAGCCCTGCTTGTCCAGGAGCTCCTGCAGCTGCAGGGTCGCTGTGGTGCCGCTGTGGGGCTGAGCTGCTCCTGCCCCGGGCTCAGCCCCTCCTCGGGAGCGGGGTCGGTGTGCTCCGGTGTCGGGGGGTTCCTCAGCGAGGGGAGACGGCGATTCCTGGACACCTCCTGGGGATCAGCAGATGCCAAGAGCTGGTGGGAGGGCAGGGCAAGGACGGGGATATTCCCTGCCAGAAAACAGTGCCCGTGGGGTGTGGGGAAGGGTGAGCTCGTGGGGACACTCAGGAAGAGGAATGTCCGTGCCTCAGCGCTGTCAGTGCATGACAATGGCAGATCCCATTGTGCTGCTGAAACACCAGCCCACGTCCTGGTGGAATTCCACCTGTGGCAGGTCGAGGATGCTCAGGACAGGTTTTTTGGGATGGGGACAGGTTTCTCCAGGTTTCCCTTCCCTCCTGGAGGTCGGGTGCCCTGCAGGGAAGCTGTGTCCCAGGAGCTGAGTGCAGCAGGGCACCCCAGGGCAAGGACAGGCTGGTGGATCCGTGTATTTCCTGTGCACCCAGGAGAGGAATTCCCAGTTCCTGCAGGATTCCAGCACGGAGCTGTGCTCCCAGTCCGGCCCCTGCTCGTGCATCCTGCTCCCAGCACCGTGTGCCAGAGCCAGCCCAGGGCTGGACCCTCAGGAGCTGCTGGAAATCCATCAGGAGCTGTGCAGGACTCCCAGCAGGGAGGGAAGTGCTGGGGAAAGCACCGGGATTGCCTCAGGGCCACCTGCAGAGTGACATTGGCTGGAGAGGGACCCGGCTCCAACCCCACCGAGTGACGCCTGCAGTGACAGCAGGATTTGAGATCTCCCCCCACAAACATCCCAACCTCTTCCCCCTCTGCAAGGCTGTAGGTACAGAAAGGTGCAATATTTGAGGATACTTAGGGGTAATCTGACCCTATGAGCAAAGAAACAGGACTGGAAAAGCCTGGGGCTGTTTCTGGGTGGTTTTTGGGGATTGTAGTGGTGCTGGCAGCACAGGAGCTCGCTGGCTGCTGCAGGAGCTTGATCCCAGTGCTCTGTGTTCCCTGGATGTGTCTGGAAGGGACCCCTGGCCCTGCTGGGGGCTGCAGGGCTCAGCCACAGTGGGGTCAGTCCAGGGCTCCTTGATCCTGCAGGAAGCAGGACTGGTGAGCTCCTGGCGCTGTCCCCAAGCCTGGTGGCACGACAGCGGTGTCACTTGAGGTCCAGCCTGCCAGGGAAGGGGCCAGAGCTCCTGGGGGTGCAGGTGCCTCAGCAGGGACCCTGGCACTGCCTGGGCAGGGACCTGGGCAGGGACCTGGCACTGCCTGTCCTGGGCAGGACCCTGGCACTGCCCAGCCCTGCCAGGCCGTCCCTCCTCAGGGGTGCCTGGCACTCCTCTCCAGGGCTGCTTTAAGCCCAGCAGGCTCAGGGGATCAGAATCCGGGTGCAGGGGCTCCTTGCAGGGACTCTGAAAAGGTTTTTTCTCTCTGACCTTCCTTCCCCCCGCTGCTCTGTGCTGGGCTCTCTCAGCGGGGCTGGAATTTGGCAGGAGTTGTTCTTGTTCAGGGTTTAAGCCAGCACCTTGTCCTGCCAAACGCTGCTCTTTGGGATCTTGGGCTCCGTGGCCAAACCCATGCCAGGACAGAAATCCCTCAGGGTTCAGCTGGCCCTGCAGCAGTCCTGGAGAGGAGAATTTCCATCAGGCACAAACTCCAGGGACTCGGAATCCTGGCGAAGGTTCTGACCTCTGATGCTCTCTGGAAATGAGAGAATTCCAGGGTTCTTTGGGGTGGTTTTTGTACATTTGTGTAGCCTCAGCGAATCTGTGTAAAGTCTGTTCTGATCTGTAAAATACTGTGCAGAGAACTTTTAAAGTAATTGTAAAATATTAAAAGTTGATTTATTTCCAGTACAGGAGCAGTATTTGGGTTGAGTGACTCCTGGGTGGGTGGGAGGCAGGGGAGGAGGCTCCAAATCTCCCCAGAGGAGCTGACCTGGGAGCAGGAAAAGGTTCAGGGAGTCATTGGCACAGCCGATTCCAGCACCCACCACAGCCCCGGGATTTCTCCTTCAGGTGCTCCAAAGCGTCCCCTCACAGGGGGGTGACCTGGGATTAACCTGCAGGGGGAACCTGCACAGTCTTCATCAATGAAATGGTGTTTTCAGCCTCACAGGACATCCCACCAAGACTTGAACACTCCATGGCTTATTATTAGCATATTTTTATCTCCTTAGTGCAATTATTTTTCCTTGAAAAAAAAAAAAAAAGTATTGGAGAAGACTCAGTTTAGAGACACAAAAAAGGCAATTCCAAAGCCACCACACTGCCAGCTTGGCTTTCCCTCTCCCCAGATCCCCTCCTCTTCTGTATTTCTGGAGCTGGACTAAAAATAGAGCTGGGCTGGAGGCCAGGGTGGCAAACAGAGCTCCCAAAGCGCTCGGGACTCACCGGGGCTGGGCTGGGCAGCTTTCCCCCGGAGGAGGAGGAGGAGGAGGAGGAGGAGGAGGAGGAGGAGGAGGAGGAGGAGGAGGAGCAGAAGGAAGAGGCACGGCCTCACGGCCCTGCTCGCTGCTGCCCTGGCACTGCCACTGCCACCCGGGGAACTGCCACAGCTGCTCTGGCACCCTGTGCCAGGCCCTGCCCACCCTCCCAGGGAACAATTCCCAATTCCCAATCTCCCATCCATCCCTGTCTTCTGGCAGTGGGAGCCATTCCCTGGGTCCTGTCCCTCCATCCTTGTCCCCAGTCCCTCTCCAGCTCTCCTGGAGCCCTTTAGGCTCTGGAAGGGCTCTGAGCCCCCCCAGAGCCTTCTCCTCTCCCAGTGAGCCCCCCCAGCTCTCCCTGGAGCTGCTCCTCTCCAGGTGAGCCCCCCCAGCTCTGCCAGCCTCACTCCAGAGCAGAGGGGCTCCAGCCCTGAGAGTATCAGGAGATCAGGAGACAGAGTTTTTCCATATGAGGAAGATTTCAACATCCTCAAAACCTCCCTGCACCCCACCCATGCACAGAAGTGACCAGGTAGGGCTGTAAGGCTGTAAAATACCTGGAAATCCCAGAGCACAGCATTTTCAGGGACAAAGGGCTGCTTTGTCCCTGGCCTGCCACACAAGAGGTTCTTTCTCTGCTTCTGTTTGGTTCTTCTCTTTTTTCCCCAGGCTTCTGACTGAAGGCTTTGTGTGAGCAGGGTCATACCTGGCTCTTCCTCTCTCTGCGGCCAGGAGCCGATGTTATCTGGGGGAATTTGGCAGTTCCCTGTGCTGCTCTGAGGGTTTCTCTCGGCTGTATTTTGGTGTTTAATGACATCAGAAAGTATGGGGAACCAGCCTCTGTTGCCCCTTCCATGGGCTGCCACAAGGATGTAGGAGGAAGGTTAATGGTGCTGTGACAGAGAGGGAAAGGCAGGAGGGGAAGGGGTAGGGTGAGGCTGATTGCTTCAGTGCAATGGATTTTTGGGTTTGGATCCCGAATTTGGTGGTGATGAGCGGGTGCTGGGTGTGTGCTGTGGGCAGTGCCCGGGTCCCAGCCCTGCTCTCCTGCCGCTGAGGCGGTGTGGTGCCAGTGGCACCCTGCTGAAAACGGCCAGACCCCGCCAGGCTCGCTCAGGGCACATGAGCCAGACCGGCCCTGCTCCGGGAGCACATCCCGGGGGACCGGCCCTGCTCCGGGAGCACATCCCGGGGGACCGGCCCTGCCCCGGGAGCACATCCCCGGGGACCGGCCCTGCCCCGGGAGCACATCCCCGGGGACCGGCCCTGCCCCGGGAGCACATCCAAATCCCGGGGAACCGGCCCTGCTCCGGGAGCACATCCCGGGGGACCGGTCCTGCTCCGGGAGCACATCCCGGGGGACCGGCCCTGCCCCGGGAGCACATCCACATCCCGGGGGACCGGCCCTCCCTGCCCGGGCTGGCAGCAGCTGAGCTGCCGCGGCAGCCGCAGGGCTCTGAGCAAAAGCAGATGTGGGAGACGCTGCGGGCGGGAGGCGCTGCCAGGGGCACAAACACCGTGCCTGGAGCGGGCGGCTGGAGAAGTGTCCTTGGAGGGACTCCCGGTGTCCCGGAGCGGCGCCGTTTGCCGGGAGGTGCGAGCCCCGGGCTCCCTCTGCCTCCCTGGGCGGCGGCGGCGCGGGGATCGCCCTGTCTGGGGCGGCTGGCAGCACAGAGGGGCTGTGCCAGGGCTGGTGCCAGGGGCGGTGCCGGGCTCACGGACTCATCCCCTGGCAGCCCGACCTGCTCTGCGAGGACGCTGCCAGGGCAGGGCTGAGCCTCGCTCGCTGCTCCCGGCCGTGCGGGGAGCGCCGGGGGACAGAGCCGCGCTCGGGGCCAGCTCTGTCACCGCGGGGCTCCTCCGCCCACGAGGAAGTTGTCCCGAAATAACTCGGCGCTTCCCCTCCGCCCCGCACGCTTTGAAGCGGCTGCAGAACCCGGGAGACGCCACCCGCGGCCCCGCCGATGTCCCCCGCGGGACCCCGCTGTGCCCCCCGCGCCGGCCCGGCCCTCTCGGGGGGCTGCGGCTCCCTGGGCCCCCCGAGCCCGGCCTGAGGAAGGTAAGAGCCCCGGGGGGCGCGGTGCCCCGGCTCCAGCCGCGGGGAATGCGTGGGGAATGCCGTGGGGAATGCCGCGGGGAATGCCGTGGGGAATGCCGTGGGGAATGCTGTGGGGAATGCCGTGGGGAATGCCGTGGGGAATGCCGTGGGGAATGCTGTGGGGAATGCCGTGGGAAATGCCGTGGAAAATGCCGTGCCCCCGCTGCCCCACTGCTCTCGGGGCTGCTCTGCCCCTGCCGAGGGCTTTGTCTGGGGACTGGCACCGTCTGCACGAGCGCTGGATGCCAGGGCTGACAGAGCCTGGGAGGGTTCTGGGGGCAGAACCGCTCCTTTTCCCGGGCAGGACGAGCGGAGGGAGCCGCGGTGCTGCGGGAGATCAGGAATGCGGTGCTGCTGGAGGAGCAGCAGTGCCAGCTCCCCTGCCAGCTCCCCTGCCAGCTCCCCTGCCAGCTCCCCTGCCAGCTCCCCTGCCAGCTCCCCTGCCAGCCGGCGGGATCCTGCCGGGCAGGAGCAGGAGCCTGTCCCAGGCAGGAGCGCGGGGCCCTTGCTGCCCGAGCCCGGAGCGGGCACCGGGCGGGTCCGGCTCGGTGTCGCTGCTCCGGCCGTGCCAGCCCCGGCCCAGTGGGTGAGTGAGCGAGCTCTGCCCCATCCCGGGGGCTGCCTGGCACCAGCTTTGTTCTGTGCTGCCAGGGACAGTCACCTGCCCAGTGCCACCCCGGCCACCCCCGGGCTCCCCGTCCCCGCTGCCCGTGCCCGGGGCTGTGCTGGCGATGTTGGCACGGCGGGGGTGGCTCACACGCTGGCACTGGCTGCGTGTGCGCTCCTGTGGCTGCCCAGCTGGCCCGGCGCCTCGGCTGTCCCCTGGGGCCCCGAGCAGCGGTGACAGGGCAATAAAAGCGATGGCAGAGCGATAAGGAGCAGAGAGCGGGGCCCCGTGCAGAAAGGAAGCAAAAATCTGCGTGCTCGGGGCTCGCTGCGAGCAAAGGCACATGAGCCAAGCCTGCGGCAGCAGGGCTCAATCCTCCTGCCCTGAGCCTTCCTCGGCACCTCGGGCTGCTCAGAGCCACCTCCCGGGACATTTCCCTCCTGGGATGCTGCTCCCTCCCACGGGAGCTCTCCAAGCAGAGAGAGCTGCAGGACCTGTGCTGGGCCGGGTGTGATTCAGGGCAGGGACAGCTGCAGGACCTGTGCTGGGCCGGGTGTGATCCAGGGCAGGGAGAGCTGCAGGACCTGTGCTGGGCCGGGTGTGATTCAGGGCAGGGAGAGATGCAGGACCTGTGCTGGGCCGGGTGTGATCCAGGGCAGGGAGAGATGCAGGACCTGTGCTGGGCCGGGTGTGATTCAGGGCAGGGTGCTGTAGTTCTTCAGGCCAGACTGGAGTTTTTAGGAGCTCACTGAAAGCAGAGGAGCTGTTGGTGCCTGTGCCCTGTAATTAAATCCCCTTTTTGACCTTGTTGTCCTGGTGCAACCCTAAACCCTCATCCCTTCCTTGCTAAGGGCTTCTCCGTGCCCTCCCTGCCCGCAGCTGTCACATCACTTTGTCCCCGCGGTGCCAAGAGAGCATCCCCAGCCCGGGCACTGCTGCCTGCGGGGCTGAGTGCCACACACAGCGTTCTGTGGTCACTCTGGTCACTTTTTGTCATTCCCTTCCTGTCACCCCTGGGCAGTTCCTCTGTGCCCTCCCCAGGTCACCCCCGGGCGGTTCCTCTGTGCCCTCCCCAGGTCACCTCCACCGCGGCCACCTGAGGCAGCTGTGGCAGCGGCAGGGGATGGACAGCGCAGTCCTGCGGCCCTGCACAGAGCCGGGCACTGGGACACTGCTCTGTCCCAGCCGGTGACACAGAGACTGTGTGACAGTGCAGGGCTGTCCCAGCGACCGTGCAGGTGACAGTCCTGCCCACGGGAGGGAACGCCCAGGGAATGGCTCTGGAGGGAGGCAGGGAGCAGCCGTGCCACCCCACAGCCCCTCCCAGCCCAGGAAACAGCCTGGCCACTCCCAGGTGGGCCACATTGGGTAGCCTGAGCTCTCCCTGCTTTTATTCCCCCTCAGGTAGACGGTGCTTGCCTGGGCTGTTTGTGAGCACAATCCTGGCCGTGGCTTTCAAATCACACCTATTTTTTCCCTGTGATTGTTTTTCCAAAGTCGACTCCGGGGATGGAAAGAGATGCTAAATCTAAAAAGCTGCTGTTTCCGGAAAACTCTTTCCTTTCCTTAGGAAGAATGAAATGTGATGTTGGCAAGGAAGTCTCCAAACAGTCGGTGGTGTCCAGGAAGCTGCTGGACTTCCACAGCTCCAGCAAAGGCCTGGGGGCTCCTGCAGAGCTGTGGCTGATGAACGCTCACTGCAGGGCCAGTGAAGGAGTGTCATTCCTGAGCTGGCCCCGAGAGCCCTCCGTGCTCTCCCCCTCTGTGGCAGGACCCCTGGCAGGGCTGTGCCTTCCCCGAGCAGCCAGCAGGCAAATGGAGCCCCAAGGAGATGCTGGAAAGCCGAGTCTGGGCTCGAGATTCTCTTCCTTGGCAGTAGGAGCACGAGGGAGAGCATCTGCTTTCATCTCAGAGCTCTGCCAGGGCTGGAGTTAAATCTGGAAATGAGAGCAGGAGGGGGCTCAGGCCGGGCCCCAGGGGTGTAGGGGATTCAGGGGTGTAGGGGATTCAGGGGTGTCAGGGATGTTGCCGGAGCCGTTTCTCAGCCTTTGGGAGCTGCCAGCTGCAGTTTGGGGCAGCCCAGAGGATGCAATGCCACATCCCAGCGGGGCTCGGGGGACGCGGCCCTTTAGCTGCCGCATCCCCTCCGGCTCCCAGCCCGTCCCAGCCCAGCCCGGGCGGGCCGGGAGCCGGAGCCGTGCCAGGCTCGGAGCCAGCCTGGCCCGCAGCAGCGGTGGGCAGCGGGGGAGGGCGGCCCGGGCCGGGCTGGGGCTGTCCCCGGGCCTTTTGCCGTGCCTGAGGACGCTGAGCCCGCGCGGGTCCCTCGGGCTGAGCGCTGCCGCCTCTCCCGCAGGACTCTCCCGCTGCCCGCGGTACCGGAGCGATCCTCCCCGCGGTACCGGGGCCGGAGCGATCCTCCCCGCGGTACCGGAGCCATCCTCCCCGCGGTACCGGGGCGATCCTCCCCGCTCGGGTGCGGCCGGGCGGGACGGGCTGGCAGCGGGGCGGGCAGCGGGCAGAGCCGCTCTCCGTGCCCGGGCGGGCGCGGTTTCCTCTCTCTCTCTCTCTCTCTGCGCTGGAGCGGACAGGCAGCGCCGGGAAAGCTCAGCCGTGCCCGGCCGGTGAGTCTGGAGCTGAGCGCGGGCTGCAGGAGGCGCGGGGAGATGCTTTGGAGCGGTAAATAGAACTGGCAGAGAGCGAGGGGGTGTGCTCCGTGTCCCCTGGGGCTCCGCTGTCCCTGGGCAGGCGGGCAGGGGGACAGGGACATCCCCCAGGCTGGTATGGCCAGCCCAGCTCCAGGGATTTGGGGTGGGATCCTGACGTGCTGGAGCTTCCCAGGGCAGCCTCGTTTGCTGCCAGCCCAGCTCCCATCACCCAAGGCTTTGGGGTTGGGTTTTCTTCCGTGGCTTCAGCTATTTCTGCCTCGCTTCAGCTATTTCTGTGCCTCTCGTGTTTCACCTGGTCGCGGGGGGGAGGTTGGGGTTTGGTGATTTCCGACAGCGTTACAGCCTGTGCTGCAGAGCAGAGGTTTTTGGGGAGCCGCTGCAGCCCCACATTTCCAGGGGCCAGCCTGAGTCACCACGGCGGGGCTGAAGTGCCTCCCCTGCCCGGCCACGGCCCCATCCCTCAATGGGATTTTTAGTCAGGGCAGAGGAGGCAGAGGCTGGAGGATCCCAGAACGGCACAGAGCTTCACCTGGGATTAGCTGGGCTGAGACAGAGCGCTGGTACAAACTGCTCCAGCCCTGCCCGCCGGGCTGCTGCCCTGCAGAGGAGGGGCTGAGGAGGGTTTGTGGGTGCTCAGCACCCTGTGCACAGCCAGGTCCTGCTCTCGCTGTCTCCAGCACCTGCAGTTTGGAGCAGGAGGGTTCACTTTAACCCTGCAATTCCCTTTAACCCATGGATTTACCTGCCAGGGTCCAGGGTGAAATGCACTTTCACTGCCAAGCCCTGCGTTTTTAAGAATAGATCCAGTTGTTCCCCCAAACTGCCCCAGACTCTTGGGGAAGGTGGCTTTGGGGTCATTTAGGGTTTTTTTCCTATGAATCTCAGAATTACTGAAACCTGAAGGGAGAATTGTGACTTCTCTTCTTGCCCTTCCTTTTTCATTTTCCTCCCTGCAAAAGGAATAAAATCCAGCTGATGCCATGGGTATTTTAAGAATTGCAGAGAGGAAGCAGAGATTTGCAGCTCTGCAAAGAAGTGGGATGAATGCAGAGAAGGCTCTGGTCTTGCTGAGCTGGCAGACAGCAAACAGCCAGTGATGGGGTGAGCTGTGCCTCGTGTCTGCTGCAGGGGAGGCAGCAGATCCAGGGGCACGAGGGGCACAGAGGGCAGAGAGCCCTGCTGGGTCTGGGGTGGGCACAGCTGGGGCTGAGGGGCTGTGCCCTCACCCTCGGGCAGCACAGCAGGCAGAAAACACCCCAGGAACCGGGGCAATTTCTGCTCTTTGGGTTCCTGTGCTGGCCAGAAACATTCCCAGGGAAAAGGGGGAATTTCTGCTCATTTGGGTTCCTGTGCTGGTCAGAAAGATTCCCAGGGAAAAGGGGGAATTTCTGCTCATTTGGGTTCCTGTGCTGGCCAGAAACATTCCCAGGGAAAAGGGGGAATTTCTGCTTGTTTGGGTTCCTGTGCTGGTCCTGGCCAAGGGAGAAGCAGTGGCTGGAGCCTGGCAGGGCCCTGCCTGACCCCTCTGTTCCTCAGAGCCGGTTCCTGTGGGTGTTCTTTCACCCTCTTCTCCCCCGACACCTGCCTGTCCTCCCCTGGACAGCGTGGCCGGGTCCCGAGCGTGCTGGGGACCGGTTTTATCTCTTTCTGTTGGATTTTCCCGGGACGCCCAAGCTCAGGGAGCAGCAGGGCGCTGTGGGCTCAGCTCAGGAGGGAAAGGAGCCCTGCTGGAGCAGCTAGGATGGGCAGAGCTCCTCGGGCAGGCCGGGCTCGCGTCGGGTTTTGCTAAATTTGGAAGCTGTGGCAGGCGGGCAGCGCCGCCCCCGCAGCGCCAGGAGGATGCGGATGTGGGAAGCCACCGACACCTCCAGCCGCATTTGGCTGCCGCTTCCTCCGGCGGCGGGACAGGAGCCCGAGGGCGGCCCGGGGGTCTCCGAGCCCCGGGACTGGCGGTGCCCACCCGGGACTGGCGGTGCCCACCGGGACTCTCGGTGTCCACCGGGACTGGCGGTGCCCACCGGGACTCTCGGTGCCCACCGGGACTGGCCGTGCCCACCGGGACTCTCGGTGCCCACCGGGACTGGCGGTGCACACCGGGACCTGAGGTGCTCACCGGGACTGGCGGTGCCCACCGGGACTGGCGGTGCCCACCGGGACTGGCCGTGCCCACCGGGACTGGCGGTGCCCAAAGGGACTGGCGGTGCCCAAAGGGACTGGCGGTGCACATCGGGACTGGCGGTGCTCACCGGGACTGGCGGTGCTCACCGGGACTCTCGGTGCCCAAAGGGACTGGCGGTGCACATCGGGACTGGCGGTGCTCACCGGGACTGGCGGTGCACATCGGGACTCTCGGTGCCCATCAGGACTGGCGGTGCCCACCGGGACTGGCGGTGCCAGCGGCTCCGATCTGGGGTTGTGCCCCAAACACCGCCCGTGCCCAGCCCTGGGCTGCGCCCCTGCCCACGGGCTCCCGGGGGGTCCCGGTGCCTCTGTGCCCCCCAGCCCACCCGAGCCCCGCGTGTTCCCGTTCCTGCAGGCACCGTCGCGCTCCAGGCCATGCCCCAGCGCCGTGGGGAGCTCCGCGCTCTGCCCCCCGAGCGGCAGCCCCGGCCCGGCCATGGAGAGCTCAGGTGGGTGATGCTGAGCGCGGGGCTGGGGGAGCGGGGAACTGCCCCTGGCCACCCTTCACCCCCATTTCCCTCTCTGCAAACACCGGCCTGTGTGGGGAAATGAGGCACAGAGCCCTGCAGGGGCAGCCAGAAGCTTGGCTGAGTGTGGGGCACTCACATCTGACAAAACATTTGTGTATTAAAGTAGTTTATTTTATAGTAGTATATTTAATTTTATTTCATTTTATTCCATTTTATTCTATTCTATTTTATTCTATTTTATTCTAGTCTATTTTATTTGATTCCATTTTATTTTATTCTATTTTATTTTATTCTATTTTATTTTATTTTATTTTATTTTATTTTATTTTATTTTATTTTTACAGTAGTATATTTTATTATTATTAATTTTTCTTTTATTATTCTTAATTTTTTATTTTATAGCACTATATTTTATTTTTAATTTTTTTAAATTTTACAGTAGTATATTTTACTATTGATAATTTTAATTTTATTATTATTAATAATTTTTTATTTTACAGTAGTATATTTTATTTTTATTTTTTCTTTTTTTGTAGTATATTTTATTATTATTTATTTATTTTATAGTAGTTTTTTTTTCCTTCGGTGCGTATTTCAGTCCATTTCCCCCCGTGTTTAATTTTCACACCGTTTCAGAGGTGCTGTTGATCTCCCAGGGTCAGGATGTCATTGCTGAAAGGTTTTATTCCATTTCCAAGCCGCTACTCTTTGTTGCTGGGTTTATTTTTTGCTGTTTTTAGATCAAAGTGCCTCTTTGTGCTGGGTCAAACCCTTTGCTCTGCGCCCCGTGAGGGACCCTCAGCGCTGGGGCCGCTTTGATTCGGGAGGGGAGGACAGGATTGACAGCGGTGCTCAGGAAACAACACACAGAGGAAAAGAGCAGGACATCTGACATTTCAAATAGTCCAAACCAATAAACAGGAGAGTGGCACCAGGGAGAGTCCCAAAATCCCGGAGAGGAAAGCCTCCGAAGCAGACAAACCCAGAGCAGTGAGGGTATTTCTGTGTGTGGCACAGGGGGCTGCCTGGGCACAGACCCCTCACAGGGCCGTGCTCTGACCCCCCTCCCTAACACGGCTGCCCCCGTTAGAAAATCCAAAATCATTCCCAGGGCAGGACCTGTGTGGGAAAGGCGCAGTGGCAGGACCCAAACGGGCATTTCTGAGCAGTTCACACTGAGCTGGGAGGCAGAAGTGAGATTTTGGCCGAGGGTTTGATCTCTGCCCACAGGGAGGGCTGAGGGATGTGGGCCCTGGCAGAGCCCGCGGGCATTTGCTGTGCCAGCTGCAGGCTGGGCCTGTGCTCGCTCACAGAAGCGATGGAGAAGTCTGTGATTTCCTTAAACCAGGGGTAGGAGGCAACTGCAGCACCTTTAGGATGATATCATGAGGAGAAAGTTCAGCCTTTTGCCCTCTGCCAATCTGTAAAAATGAGCGTGCTGCCAGGAGAGCCTGGAGCGGGCAGTGAGACAGGCTGGGGTCCCCAGCTGCAGGCAGGCAGAACCCCCAGCCAGGCTGGGCCAGCACTTTTGGGGTTCCTTGGCACCTCCAGCAGCCCTGGGCACCGCTCTGGGTGTGCACCACGGCTCGGGGGGCTCTGGGGGCTCTAAGGGGTCTGGGGGCACTGGGGACTCTGAGGGCACTGAGGGCTTTGGGGACTCTGGGGGATATGTGAGCCATGGGGGGGACTCTGGGGGCTCTGGGGGTCCTGGGGAGGGCTCTGGGGGCTGTGAGGGCACTGAAGGCTCTGGGGGCCCTGGGGAGGACTCTGGGGGCTCTGAGGTCTCAGGGGACTCTGGGGACCCTGGGGAGGGCTCTGAAGGCTCTGGGGGCCATGGGAAGGGCTCTGGGGGCTCTGAGGTCTCGGGGGGCTCCGGGGACCCTGGGGAGGGCTCTGGGGGCTCTGGGGGCTCTGGGAGCCCTGGGGAGGGCTCTGGGGGCTCTGAGGTCTCGGGGGGCCCTGGGGAGGGCTCTGGGGGCACTGAAGGCTCTGGGGGCCCTGGGGAGGGCTCTGGGAGCTCTGAGGTCTCGGGGGGCCCTGGGGACCCTGGGGAGGGCTCTGGGGGCACTGACAGCTCTGGGGGCCCTGGGGAGGGCTCTGGGGCACTGACAGCTCTGGGGGCCGTGGGCTCTCTCCCGGCTGTCCCCTGGCAGTGCCAGCCCGGCTCAGGCACCACTGTCCCTGCAGAGCTGGAGTCGGACATCCTGCGGCGGGTGCGGGCGCTGCTGCGGGAGCTGGATGGGCACCACCCATCCTGCCAGAGCGACCGAGGTGAGGGACTGGCACCCCCCGGGCACTCCTGCCCCGACCCCCTCCCTCCCACTGCCAGCGGGGACATGGTGGCTGCACCCATCCCCTTCCCAACCCTCTCCCGGGCAGCCAAATCCTTCAGCAGCTGTGTCCGTGCCCCAGCAGTGTGTGACACCCCATGTCACCCTGTGTGTCACCCAGAGCCAGGGCAGGGCCCAGGGGCACAGCTGGGAGCAGGGGGCACAGGAGCTGCCTTGGTCCCCAGGGATGTGCCAGGGGCATTCCCGCACTGCAGTGCCCGGCTCCCTGGTGCCTGGGAAAGCTCAGCCGGGTCCCCCCGTGGTGGCCTGAGCTCCCCCGGCTGTCCCTCCCCAGGAATGCTGCGCTGGACCCTGCACAAGAGAACGGACCAGAACCCCAGAACCAGCTGTGTCCTGGTCAGCATCCTGGTGAAGGAGCTGGAGAGGGTGAGTGCCACCCCAGGGAGGGGACAGGGCCACCCCAGGGAGGGCAGGGCCACCCCAGGGAGAGGGCAGTGCCACCCCCGAGATCCTGGCCCCCGCTGGGCTCTGGGGCTGCCCCTGCCCAGCGCAGTGCCCTGCCAGGCCCTGACTGTGCCTGTCCTGCCCCGTCCCCACAGGCCGAGCGCGGGGACCTGCGGCACTACATCATCCCCCTGCTGCACACGCTGATGTACACCTTGATCCAGGTGAGCCAGGACCTGCACCTGCACAGCCAAGGGACAGCAGGGGCCAAGGAGGGGCTGCCTGGAGGCCCCCAGAGCCTGGAGCAGCCCCTCAGAACCAGCTGAGCCCCGGCACGGCCCCAGGCAGGCTCAGCTGGGCATGTCCCATGTCCCTGTGGCACACAGAGCGCCAGGTCCTCCACCTGAGCCCTTCTGGTGCCTGGCAAATCAAAGTGCCCCAAGCTCCGGTGGGTATTGCTGGAGGTTCCCAAAGCACTGCAGGGCCCGATTCTGCCCCTTGTTCTTAATTTAACTCCGTAGTGGATTCGGTGCTGGGAATTTGGGGCAGATTCGGGGGTCACTGCCTGTCACCCCCCTGTCCCCCTGCAGGCTCCCTGCATCCCTGACGAGCTCTGTGCCAGGGTTTATGACTTCTGCAAGAGGCTGCTGACCCTGCCCAAGCCCTTCTGCACCATCGGGCTGGACTATGCCAGCCGGCTGCAGCTGGAGAGGACAGCCCCAGGTAAGGGGGGCTGCCAGGGCTGGGCCCTCCAGGGGCAGGAAATCAGCTCCGAAGCAGCCCCGGGATGTCAGTGGGGCTGCAGGCAACAGCCCCGGGTAGGAAGCAAGCCCAAGGACACCTGGTTCCTTTTTTCTCTGTGTTCTTTTTCTCTGTTCCCATTAAAGCTCTTCCATAGGAGCCTTTCAAATGATCCTTTAGTGCAGAGCAAGCTGCAGACACCCTGGGAGGTGTGGGCAAGCAGGAGAAACCTGGTGGGGAATTTTGGTGCCATTTTGGGGAGCCTCAGCCCACCCCCAGCAGCCCAAGCACTCCTCCCCAGCGCTGCCTCCAAGGGGCTCCTTTCCCTCCCCTGAGCTTTGGTACAGGCATGGCTCAGGTGGGAGAGGGGGGCTCCAGCAGGGCTCCCCTCGGAGCAGCCACAGGGCTGTCCTTGAGCCAGGTTGGGACTGTCCCTGAGCCAGGCTGGGACTGTCCCTGAGCCAGGCTGGGACTGTCAGGGCTGTCCCTGAGCCAGGCTGGGACTGTCCCTGAGCCAGGCTGGGACTGTCAGAGCTGTCCCTGAGCCAGGCTGGGACTGTCCCTGAGCCAGGTCAGGGCTGTCAGGGCTGTCCCTGAGCCAGGCCAGGATCGACCCTCACCCCGGGCAGGGGCAGGGCAGTGCCTCCCTCCTGATCCAGAGACCCTGCTGCTCCTCAGGTGTCCCCAAACGCCGTCCCCACGTGGCCCTGGGGACAGAGCTCTCCCTCCTGCTTCCACCTCCGCTCCCAAGCTGCCAAACAAAGGAAGGGAACCACAGGAAAGCATCCCAGAATAGAAGGGGTTTCTATTCCTGGAGCCTGGCCTATCTTTGTCCTGGGCTGTTTTTAGCTCTGGCCCCGTTCCTGGCAGTTTGGCTGAGCCCAGCGGGTGTTTCCCGGCCGGGCAGAGCCCACTGAGGCTGCAGAGTGCCACTGCTGCACAGTGCCACTGCCAGTGCCACTGCTGCCACCGGTGTTTGTGCCTGCAGGGACCCTGTTCCAAAGGATGGTCATTGCTGAGCAGAGCCTGCCCAGCGCGCCCTTCCCCTACCAGGAGAGGTGGGTGCTGCCCCTGGGCAGGGCTGGGTTTGGTTTCGTGCCCTCTCAGGCAAACCTGTCCTTTTCAACACTCGCAATTAGTCTTGGCTGGAACAGACAACCTGGGCCCGAGCCTCGCGGCCTTGGGGGACGCTGCTGGGTGAGGTCCGGTCCGTCGCTAGATTTGGGAGGGAACGTTCTCCCCCATTATTTTGGGATGCAGGGAGCTGCCCTTGGTGGGGAGACGGGGTGGAGAAGGGGAATATCAACAGCAGCAAAGGAAAAAGTGAGGTGAGAGCTGCTCCTGCCAGCCCTGGTGCTACTGATGCGAATCTGCCTCTCCCCCTTTGCCACCCTGCTGCCCCCCAGGATTTTCATCTTTGCTGACCCCGAGCTGCTGCCCGAAGCCATCTGCAAGGCGCTGGCCACCGACACCGAGGCGGCCCAGGTGTCCCTGAGCCCCCGGGGCTGCATGAGCTGCGTGGTCACCCACGCGCTGCAGGCGGCCCTGGGGGACACCTGCGACACCCACGGCCTCCGGGCACGGCTCCAGGTAACGCAGCAGCTCCTCCCCGCTTTTCCCTGCTCCTGCTCTGCCTGGACACCCTGGAGACACAAAAGGTGTTTTGGCAAGTGGAGAAACCACCCCCCAGCACCCCCTGCTCCCCAGCGCTGGTCTGCAGCCCCAGGGCTGGGCTGGAACTCAGCCTGAGTTTGGCTTTGCACAGCAAAGCTGAGACAGAGCCTCTGTTGTCTCCTCTGGGAGCCCCTGGGCACCGCAGGAACCTCTCAGGGAAAAGGTTTCAATCAGTTTTCTCCCAGCCCTCCTGAAGGAGCTGGGGACTCACAGTGACACAAACGTCTGCCTCAGAGGCTCTGCAGGTCACCTTCGCATGCCTGCTGTCCCCATGTCCCCAGAGTCACCCCAAGTGCCAGCGCTGCCCAGGGGACACGCTGCCCTTCAGCTGCACAAAAGGAGCTGGGACAGGAGGGTGTTGGTGACCCCATGGGCACTGTTTGCAGGACTCCTTTGCTCTCCCTGCCCCTGCCGCTGCCTGGCCCTGATCATTCCCGTTTCCAGGGCTGACAGCCCCTCTCCCAACAGGCCCTGGCCCCGGGGGACGTGGAGCACTGGTTCCAGCAGGTGGTGGCGGCTGTGGAGGGCAGCGAGGGGGGCTCAGGCCGAGGCCAGCACAGGGAGCGGCTGGAGAGGATCTACCAGGGCCTCCTGGGCTCCTCGCCCGCAGGTGAGCCCTTGTGTCCCCTCGTGTCCCTGCCGTGGCTCCTGCCCGTGCCTCAGTTTCCCCCTTCCCATTTCTCCCTCCCACCAGTGGTGCAGACACGTGGTGGTGGCTGGCTCGGTGAGAGCTGGGCCCTCACAGCCTCACGTCTGGCCTCACCCCAGCAGCTCTGGGCTGGGAGAGCCCCAGGGCTGCCTCAGCACCTGTCCAGCACTGGGGGCTCGTGCTGCTGTGTGGGGAAACGCTACCATGTGCTCCAAGGTTCTTTGTTTTCCCAGGGAATGCTCCCCAGGAAGGGCTGCAGGGGACCCCCCTGCCCAACCCCAACATCAGCTTCCACCTGTGGACAGAAGATGAGCAGCTCTGTGAGTGCCCTGGGGCGGGGGGTGTGGGGTGGGGGGTCTGAGCTTGGGGGTCCTGTCCCAAGGGGGTCACTTAGCCCTGATCCCTGGGCTGGGAGTTCGGGCACTGTTGTCCCAAGCTCGTGCAGATCCGCGCTGCTGCCCCAGCCCTCCCTCCTGGGTGCTGAAGGAGCCGGGGCTGCAGCAGGACGTGCCCAGAGTGTCCGACTGCCGTGGGAGCCCCAGACCCCTGGCAGGGACCGAGACCAGGCCGGGGGGAGCTCGGAGCAACCTGGTCTGCTGTCGCTGCCATGGCAGGGCTTGGGAGCCAGATCATCCTCAGGGTCCCCTGCAGCCCGAAGCGGGCTGGGGCCCTGGCACAGGGTGGCACCGATGTCCCTCAGCTGGAGTGGGACACAAGGGCTGGGGCCCTGGCACTGGGTGGCACCGATCTCCCTCAGCTGGAGTAGGAAAGAAGGGCTGGCGGCCCCCGGCACTGGGTGGCACCGATGTCCCTCAGCTGGAGTGGGACACAAGGGCTGGGGCCCTGGCACAGGGTGGCACCGATGTCCCTCAGCTGGAGTGGGACAGAAGGGCTGGGGCCCTGGCACAGGGTGGCACCGATGTCCCTCAGCTGGAGTGGGACAGAAGCACTGGCGGCCCCGGAGCCCCTGGCAGAGCTCTCGGCTCTCGGAGGAGGGAGGCTGGGGCAGGACCGGGCCGTGCCGCCCCCTCCGCGCTGACGGCGCTCCGTGCCCGCAGGGAAGGAGCTGGTGCTGTTCCTGCGCCCGCTGCCGCAGGGCTGCGAGCCCGAGGGCCCGGGGCAGGAGGCGGAGGTCGCGGAGCTGCCGGAGCTGCTGGAGGGCTGCGGCTGCTGCGGGCAGAGCCGCTTCTCGGTGCTGTCCACGGACAGCGGCATCGAGCGGGACCTGCCCGCGGCCGAGGAGCCGTGCGCGGCCTGCACCCAGCGCCGCCCGCTCCGCAGGAAGGGCGGCATCAAGAAAAAGCCGTCCCCGCTGGGCAGCGCGGCCCTGCTGCAGGGGAAGCCCCCCGGCAGTGTGCCCGGCGGGGCAGGGCTGCCCCCCGAGCCCGCCGCCCCGCTCCGGAGGCTGCACACCGCCCGCGTGGTGCTGCTGGGGGACGATCGCGTCCTGGGCCGCCTGGCACAGGCCTTCCACTCCCTCAGGTACCCGGGGACAGCCGGGGGGCTCGGGGGGACACACGGGCTCGGGGACAGCGGCTGCTCTGCCCGCCGGGATGGGGGGGCAGCCGGGCTGGATGGGGCGGCGGTGCCTGGTGGTGCCCGGGGAGGGCTCAGCGGTGCCAGGGGGGGTTTGGGGGTGCCCAGGGAGGGCTCAGCGGTGCCCGGCAGTGCCCAGGGGGGGCTTGGTGGTGCCCGGCGGTGCCCAGGGAGGGCTCAGCGGTGCCCGGGGGTCTCGGCGGTGCCCGGGCCAGGCTCAGCGGTGCCCGGCCGTGCCCAGGGAGGGCTCAGCGTTGCCCGGTTTTGCCCAGGGGGTGCTTGGTGGTGCCCAGCGGTGCCCAGGGAGGGCTCAGTCGTGCCTGGCGGTGCCCGGCGGTGCCCAGGGAGGGCTCAGTCGTGCCCACCCGGGCTCGGGTCCTGCTGCTGGCTCCCAAACGCAGCCGGCTGTCCCTGGCAGCTCTCGTGGCCCAGGACACGCACACGGCCGCTCCTCCCCTCTGTCCGTGTCCTCGGTTCATGAACAACAAACAGGCCAAGGTGATTTCCCATGCCAAAGGGACAAATCCTCCAGGGAAGCTGTTTCCCCGCTGGTGCCCCGGGGTGGGTGACAGTGTGGGCAGCCTGGGAGCAGAGCAGGGTGTGCGGGGACACCAAGCCCTGACAAAAACCTCTCTGAGGCTCCCCATCACCTCCCCTTGCTTGATTTGGGAACCCAGGGCACATCCTGGGAAAGGAGGCATCAAGGGGGCCCCTGGCACAGCAGCCACAGCGTCCTGGCACTGCCAGCCTGGCCCAGGAGCCGCCTTCTGCCCCTTGCCCTCGGGACATCTCTGCTTTCATTCCAGGAAACGGGAGGCCCGCCGAGTGTTCCTGACGCCCAGGCTGGACCTGCAGTTCTACCACATCCCCGTGGTGCCCTCGGCTGCAGCCGTGAGTGCCGGGGATGGGGGCCTGGGGGGAGAGCAGGGGGATCAGGGATTCCCTTCCAGCCCTGCCCGGCCCCAAAACAGGGAGGGTGGGAGCCAACACGGGGCTGCTGGGCTCAGTTTTGGGTCACAGCCCTTCAGTTCTGCCTCCAGGCCTCAGCTGAGCCCTGCTGCTTCTCCCACCTCCCAAATGCTGAGGGGAAGCAGCTGCTGCTCACTGGGGGCTTTCCCTCCTTGGCCATGGCCCCGGTTTTAGGTCTGTGAGTCTCTACTTGTGGTTTATGTCTGGCACATCCCTTCCCCTTGGACAGGGGAAGTGTGAGCCAAGAAGTGTGAGCCAAGTCCCACAGGAGCTGGATTTGGGGCTGGGGGGGTTTCTCCAGGACCTTATCCTACGTTTTGCTCGATACAAACCCAGGAAAAGCAAACGATCCCCAGGCTGGAGTGGCTGTGAGCTGTTTCCCTGCAGGAGCACGCTGGCCCCGAGGAGCTGTGCGAGGTGGCCGGGTACCTGGGCAGGGCTGACCCCTGGTACGAGAGCAACATCAACACCCTGTGTCACATCATCCCCAAGCTGGCCACCATGGTAGGAGGAAAACCTTCCCATTTCCCAAAAACACCTGCAGCACCTGAGGAGGGGTCTGGGCCCTGCAGGGCTCTCCATTCCCAGGCAGGGATTCCCCTGCAGACCCTCCCCAGGCTGAGATTCCCCTGCAGACCCTCCCCAGGCAGGGATTCCCCTGCAGACCCTCCCCAGGCAGGGATTTCCCTGCAGACCCTCCCCAGGCAGGGATTTCCCTGCAGACCCTCCCCGGGCAGGGATTGCCCTGCAGACCCTCGCCCTGTCTCGCACTGCCCCTCGCCCTGTCTCGCACTGCCCCAGCCCACAAGAGCCGTGTGCTGTGATGGTGTTTTTGACCAGGGGACAGGAAATGGCAGCTTTCAAGAGAGAAAACTCTCGCTGCAATGCCCCCAGCTGTCATTTCCCGGCAGTTGGAGCCACCGCTGCCAGCCCACACAGACAGGGCTGTTGTGGGTGGCCAGCCAGAGACCAGCTCATCCCTCACTCCGTGACCAGGGAGGTGTCAGACTTTGTGGCAGGGTTTTGGAGAAGTGACAGAGGCTGAGCCAGCCTGTGATTTTCCCCCAGCCTTCCTCACCGAGCAGGGCCCTGGTGACCGACCTGTTCCTCCCCGATGTCATCGCCTACTACGCCCGCATGGGCACGCAGCCCGTCCGCTTCCAGGTGCACTCCGTCAAGGTGAGAGGCACAGCTGGCACAGCCCGGGGCTCCAGCGGCCCTGCGGGGGCTGCCAGGGCCCTGCAGAGCCAGCGGGCACTGGGGGCACCCAGCAGATCCCAGCCTGGCTCCCTGTGCCCCCAGCCCGCCCCTCCCACAGCCCGTGACCCTGGAGCTGCGCTCAGCGGGAGCCCATGACCCTGGCAGGGCATTTGGGGATCTCAGCTCAGCAAAGGGACACTTGAAATGCCCCACAGGGTCAGGGATGTGCTGCTCTGCTGGGCTCGGGGTGCTCAGGAGCCTGGACCTCCTCCTGCTTCAGGTGCTGGGAGCAAGCAGGGCTTTGCTGAGCAGCTTTGCCAAAACCTCCTGTACCTGCAGGGGCTTTGCAGGGTTTCCTGCAGCACCATTTCACTGATTTCCTGCCAGCTTTGCTCTGAAATGCTATCAGAGCGAGGCCTGTTTGATAGGAGAGCAAAGAAGGGCTAAATTTGGGCGTACAACATTAACCCTTCCCTCCCTGCTCCACTGGCAGCCCCTCCAAAGCTCAGGCTGATGCACAGAGCTCCTTTGAATCTGCTCACAGGCACTGGGCAGCTGTTGCAGCCCAGCTCCCCCGCCCCACAGGACCCCTGAGCGCCATGGCCAGGTCCCAGCTCCCCCCTGGCTGCTCTGGAGAAGCTGTGCAGGCTGTGAGCCTCATGTGGCACCTCAGGGTGACAGAGGAGATGTCCCCAGAGGTGTTCCTGTCAAAGGCGTTCCTGTCGGGGTGTTCCTGTCAGGCTCTGTCTCCCAGGGCTGTCCCTCCCAGGGCTGTCCCTCCCAGGGATGTCCCTCTCAGGGCTCTGTCTCTCAGGGCTCTGTCTCTCAGGGATGTCCCTCCCAGGGATGTCCCTCCCAGGGATGTCCCTCCCAGGGATGTCCCTCTCAGGGCTCTGTCTCCCAGGGATGTCCCTCCCAGGGATGTCCCTCCCAGAGATGTCCCTCTCAGGGCTGTCCCTCCCAGGGCTGTCCCTCTCTCTCAGGTCCTGTTCCAGGACCCGGCACAGGACCCAGCTGAGGACGTGTTCCTCACGGAGCTGCTGACGCAGGTGCAGGACAGCCCCTCGCACAGAGGTGAGTGTGTCCCAGCAGCCCTGACAGGCTCCTGCCGTCCCCAGCTCCCTGCCTGTGGCTGCACAGGCAGGGGGGTGAGGGAGATTCAACCCCTCCCGCTTCCCTCCCAGCAGAGCTGAGCACGGCCAAGAGGAAAAGCACCCTGGATGGGCCTGGCATGGATCTCACAGTGACCTACAGGAGGGTGAGTGGGGCTCCTGCACCCCACGTGTCTCTGCTCCAGGGCACAGGTCTCCTGAAAGGGGACTGGCCCTCCCTCTTTCCTCTGGAATTGCTGTCCAGGCAAGGACAGAGGGGCTGTGCTGAACCTGGGGGCTGCACTGTGTTTGTGACAAGCTGTGCCCAGCCCTGCCAGGGCTGTGCCAGGGCTCTGCCAGGGCTGTGCCAGGGCTCTGCCAGGGCTCTGCCAGGATGCCCACCCTGAGCCCTCCCGCAGGTCGTGCTGAGTGCCCGGCAGAAGGAGCTGGCCCTGTCCCTGCGCTCCACGGGCCTGCTGATGAAAGCCATCCCTGCTGAGGAGGCTGAAGGTGGGCTCCTCCTGCTTTGCTGAGGTTCCTGGTGCTCAGGGCACTAAATCTGGCCATGGTGCTTGGTGCCAGCTGTGTCTGGGCTCTGGGGGTGGAATCAGGGACAGAATATTGGTGTCCCCGTGCTCTGGTTGGGGTTTTCTCAGGAATGATGTGGCTGAGGCTCAGGCAGGATTTCAGCATCTTCCCTCTGCTCCAGCCTTCTTCTTCCAGCTGGCCCTTGGCACAGCCTCTGACCCCACCCTGGGCACGATCCCACACAATTTCTGTGCCCACAGAGTCCCGTGGGTGCTGGATTCCCTTGTGTCCGTGCCAGTGCACCCAAACGTGGGGCAGGGCCCTGGAGAGCTGAGCTGAGGTTGTGCCATGGCCCCAGACCAACCCTCTGCTTCTGTCCCAGGCCTGGGCTGCCTGAGCGTGACCATCACCGAAATCATCAAGAGCAGCAACTTGGCAGGCCGCTCGTTCTCAGTGAGTACCCGTGGGATCCTCAGGGCCAAAATCCCCTCGGCAGCAGCGACAGGGGAGCCCTGAGGGGAGGAGAAGGCTCTGGGGCCACCCTGCTCCGAGGGCGTTTGGGAATTAATTCTGTGGAAAAGTCTGGATGTTTGGGCCAAACCCCAGACACCCAGGGTGCCATCCCTGCTGGTCAGTGCCATCCCTGCTGGTCAGTGCCATCCCTGCTGGTCACTGCCCTCCCTGCTGGTCACTGTCATCCCTGCTGGTCACTCTCATCCCTGCTGGTCACTCTCATCCCTGCTGGTCAGTGCCATCCCTGCTGGTCAGTGCCCTCCCTGCTGGTCACTCATCCCTGCTGGTCAGTTCCATCCCTGCTGGTCACTGCCATCCCTGCTGGTCAGTGCCATCCCTGCTGGTCAGTGCCATCCCTGCTGGTCACTCTCATCCCTGCTGGTCACTCTCATCCCTGCTGGTCACTGCCATCCCTGCTGGGCACTGCCAGGTTCTGAATACAGAGAAAGGATTCTCTTTGTGCCACATCTGAGGTTAAAAAAGAGAAATGCCATTTTCTGTCCCTGCCACGCCCAGCACGCAGCCCCGCAGGGCAGGGACAGCCTCAGCGGGCTCTGCCTCCTCTCCCCACACAGGCTGTGGCAAACAGGTTCAGAACACGGAATATCAAGGTCAGGAGCCCAGAGCAGAGACCCTTCACAGTGCGGCTGGACAAGGACAGCAGGAGAACCTACAGGGACGTGATCGGGTGAGAGCCCCGCGGTGCCGGGCCCTGCACAGCTGCCCTGCATCCCCTCCTGTGTTCTGGGAGCCCCGATCCTCATCCCGGACAAAAACCCCACCTTCCCTCTCCGGGGAAAGCGGGATCTCCTGCATTTGGGGTTTTGGGTGTGAGGATCAGAGGTGCTTGACACAAAAGCTGCTGTCATGGGGGCAGCGGGAGAGAGGCACCCCCAGGACAGGCAGAGCTTAGATCTCCCGAAAGGTGAATTAGATCGGGATGCTGATGCTCTCTGCACTGGCTGCATCCCTGCCCCGGGGGCTCCAGCCCTGTGGAATGGCCGGGATTGGTGTGCCTGGAGCAGCTGCAGTGACCTGGGACGTGCTGATGGCTCAAGGTCCAGCCAACATAAACTGGGAATTCCTGAGTCCCGCTGAGCCCGGCTCGGGATCTTGGGCTTGTGTCAAGCACTGACACAGCAGCTCATCTCTGCAGTCAGACCCAGCTGCAAAAAGCAGAAATGCAGCTGCACCTGGCAGGGGAGAGCCCTCCCCAGAGGCAGTGGGGGAGCTGGCTTTGCTCAGGGATGCAGGAAATGTGTTCTCTGCTCTTCCAGCCTGGACGTGTCTCCCTGCCTCGAGCCCAGCTACTGCCTGCAGAAGACGAGGACCACGAAATTCAGCCCCCAGGAAGCAGAAGACGTGGGGCTTGTGAAATACCTGCCCAAGTCTCTGCTGCTGCCCATCAACACTTTTGCAGGAGTCATCCCGTGAAGGAGACGGGAGAAGGGGCTGTGAGTTACGACGTGGGGTCAGCACGGAGGACATGGGGAAAGAAAACGCACTAAAAGCCACCAGTGGTGACTTGAAATGGTAACGGTGTGAAGAGCTGCCCCAGCAGAGGTGGATAGGCTTGGAGGGCACAGCCCTGCTGGTGACAGTGTGACCGTGGCTGACAGCCCCTGCCGAGGGTACAGCCGTGCCGGTGACAGTGTGACAGTGGCTGACAGCCCCTGCCCAGGGCACAGCCCTGCCAGTGACAGTGTGACCGTGCCCCATGCCCCTACCAAGGGCACAGCCCTGCTGGTGACAGTGTGACCGTGCCCCATGCCCCTGCCCAGGGCACAGCCGTGCTGCAGGACTGAGCTCTCACCTTTTGCACAAGTCAGGGAAAAGCTCTGAGCTCCTCCACCGGGGAGGAGTGAGGAAGACCCGCGGGGGTGGCGCTGGCTGTCCCGGGGAGCCCAGGGCCGCCGGCAGCAGCAGTGATGCTTTTGGAGATGTATCAGAGCCCGGCAGGGGTCAGGTTTTCACCTCACAACCCGAACGCTGCTGGTGCTCCCCTGTGCCGGACTTGAGCAGCAAACATTGAGTCCCTGAAGGAAGCTGCGGGGCGGCAGGAGCTCTCGGGCACCTCGGATAACCCCCAAAAGCAGCTGCTGTTGTTGGGGTCGTGCGGGCTTTAAGGGGTGAGCTCTGCACCCCTTTGCCTCTTCGGGGCTTCCCTGTGGGTTTGCACACGCAAAGAAAAGGCTCCAAAAGCCAAAAGGCTTGGAGCTGGGCTGGAGGGTGGGCTGGTGTCCAGAGTTGTTCTGTACAGCTGTAAATTATGTAGATGGATGCTAAATTATTTGTATAGGAGTCATGGATGACTTGTACGGGAGGGTGCAGAACTTTTAGTGCCAATTGAAAAGAATTGAAGCTGCCACTTGGGGGTTGTTGTGTGCTTGCTCATGGCTGGGGAACGGGTGGTCAGGAGCTTCATCTGAACGCGCGGTTCAGCCTCTCCCTGTGCCCTGCCCGGTCCTGAGCAGATTGTCCCGCGAGGCTGTGGGGCGTCCCTCGCTGGGGACATCCCGCACCCACCTGGGCCATTCCCGGGCCAGTCCCGGGCCGGTCCCGTCCCCCGCAGCAGGGACAGCGCTTTGGCCAGCCCGGGAGCGCCGCGGCCACAGCCGCTCGTACCTGTCCGGGACGGGCGGGCGCTGCTGTTCGTGGGCACCGCGTCCCTCGTGGGCGCTGCCAGCTCTGCCAGCCACAGCCTCCTCCGGTGGCAGCTGCAGGGCCAGGGCAGAGCGAGCTCCTCACGGGGCTCGGGTGGCCCTGGGGCCGCTGGCAGAGCTGGCCCGTGCCCCGCTCGGGGCGCAGCTGCTGCGGGCGCCGCCGGAGGTGAGAACAGTGGGATGCAGGCAGGGGCTGGGAGGGGAGGGAGAGGTGGGAACAGTGGGATCGGAGCGGTGGGAACAGTGGGATCGGAGCGGAGGGAACAGTGGGATCGGAGCAGAGGGAGCGGTGGGAACAGTGGGATCGGAGGGGAGGGAGCGGTGGGAACAGTGGGATCGGAGCGGAGGGAGCGGCGGGAGCCCCCGCCCCGGCGGAGCGGAGGGAGCAGCGCGGGGGGATCGGAGCGGAGGGAGCAGCGGAGCCCCCGGCCCGGCGGAGCGCGGCGCTGCGGATGGAAAGCAGCCGCGCTTCTCCCCGCTACGGCTCCATGGAATCCACCCGGTGGCCGCCGGCCGGCGCGGGGCCAGGTGAGCGCGGCGGGACCGGGACGAGACCGGCACCGGCACCGGCACCGCCCGAGCCCAGCTTCCCCCGCTGCCGGGGCTCCGGGACGATCCGGGCGCCCGAGCCCCGGGAGCTGCGGGGAACCGGCGGCTTCACCCAGCGAACGGAGCCCAGCCGGGTGGGGGATGGATGGATGGATGGATGGATGGATGGGTGGATGGATGGATGGATGGATGGATGGATGGATGGATGGATGGATGCTGGATGGACGATGGATGATGGATGGATGAAGTGGCTGCGGGAGAGAATTGGCTGGGAGGGAGGCAGGGTGGCGGCAGGGGGATGTCTGGAGGGACACAGCGGCAGATCACGGTCACATCTCGCTGCTGCTGCCCTGCGCGGCCCTGGGCACAGCTTGAGTGGGGCACAGGAGGGCTCGCCCTGCCCTTCACCGCCTTTGTCCCCCCCCCCCCCCCCGAGCAGTTCCTCCAGCAGGAGCGCGGGGGATGCCAAGCGGGGAAATTGCCTTGAGCAGAGCCCTCGACCTTGGGCTGGGAGGAAGGGTCGCAGTGCTGGGCCGGGCGGAGGGAGGCGCCTGCACTCCCCCTGCCCTGCCACCCCTCCGACCCCTCCCCTTCCCCGGCCCTCTCTGCTGCCCCTCAGCCCCCTGCACCCAGCGGGCACGGACGGGCAGCTGGAGAGGCGGGGGAGGAGGGACCAGCCAGCTCCAGCATCCCGCTGGGTCCTGCCAGGGGGCTGTGCTGCCCGTGGAGCTGCTCAGCTCCTGGGTGAGCTGTGGGAAGTTTTGGGCCTTTTCCTCTGAGCCTTCCCTGGCAGTGTGTGTCCTCCCCTACAGCTCCCGTAGGGATGTCACCACTCAGCAGCTGGGTGACATCGGGGTGGGCAGGGACCGCCCCCAGGGTGCTGGCTGTGGGCTGGACATCCCCCACGGGTGCCTGTGAGCAGGGCTGTGGTGGCTGTGAGTTTGCTGGTTCAGTGAGCTCCCAGCCCGCGGGGACCTTGGGGCAGGTGAGAACCTTGGGGCCGGTAAGAAGGTGGTGACAATCCCTGCCCACTGCTGGGATGCTGCTCTGCTGCTCACTCCCCACCAGGAGAGCTCAGGCCAAGCCTGTGCAGCGCTGAGCTCCTGGAGCCTCTGCTCCTGCTCAGGCTGAGTCTCCCCTGGCCCTGCCGCTCTCAGGAGCAGGGAAAACACGGCTGAGTGCCCCACAGAGAGCTCTGCCCCTCCACAGGGGCTGCCCATCCATTTCCCAACTTTAATCATGAAGAAAATTGCTTGAAGCTCGCCCTGCGCTGTTGGCTGCGGTGACTCAGCCCAGCTTGCTGCTGCCTGTCCAAATGTTTTCCCCAAACCATCTGGAGTGGAAGGCTCTGGCTATTACACTCCTCATTAGTGGCGAGCCCTCCCTGGGCTGCCTGTGGTGATTAGAGCACCTCCAAATTTCTGTCAAAGCTTTCTCGCCCTCCTTGGCTTGCCAGGCTGAGACGGTGCCAGGCAGGATCCCTTTGGCTCAGGCGCTGGGGGGTTTTCTGGGGGGGTTTTCTGTGGGGGGTTTTCTGTGGGGGGGGTTTGTGTGTGGGGTTTTGTGTGAGGGGTTTTCTGTGGGGGGGTTTTGTGTGTGGGTTTTCTGTGGGGGGGTTTTGTGTGGGGGGTTCTGTGTGGGGGGTTTTGTGTGGGGGGTTTTGTGTGGGGGTTTTCTGTGGGGGTTTTCTGTGGGGGGGTTTCTGTGGGGGGGTTTCTGTGAGGGGTTTTCTGTGGGGGGTTTTGTGTGGGGAGTTTTCTGTGGGGGGGGTTTCTGTGGGGGGGTTTCTGTGGGGGTTTTCTGTGTGGGGTTTTGTGTGAGGGGTTTTCTGTGGGGGGTTTTGTGTGAGGGGTTTTCTGTGGGGGGTTTCTGTGGGGGGGTTTTCTGTGGGGGGTTTTGTGGGGGGGGGTTTTGTGTGGGGGGGTTTTGTGTGGGGGGTTTCTGTGGGGGGTTTTCTGTGGGGGGGTTTGTGTGTGGGGTTTTCTGTGGGGGGTTTCCTGTGTGGGGTTTTGTGTGGGGGGTTTTCTGTGGGGGGTTTTGTGTGGGGTTTTCTGTGGGGGATTTTCTGTGGGGGGTTTTCTGTGGGGGGGGGGGTGTGTGGGGTTTTGTGTGAGGGGTTTTCTGTGGGGGGTTTTCTCTGTGGGGTTTTCTGTGGGGGTTTTCTGTGGGGGGGTTTCTGTGGGGGGTTTTCTGTGGGGGGGGTTTCTGTGGGGGGTTCCGTGCATGGCTGTGCTGCTCTGGGAGAGCTGTGGGACCAAAGGGACCCCTGGGCAGTGTGACCACACAGGGGTCCCTCCCTGTCCGTCCCCAAAGGGAGATTTGGACTGTGGGCTTGATCCCAGCTTTACTGAGCACCCTGCCTGGGGTGTCCCCTTCTCCACATGCTCTGTCCCAGGGTTTGTGGGTTAATTTTCCAGGAGTTCTCTCCTGGCACTGCCCTCCCTCTGCTTCTGCCCTGAGTTCAGCAGCCGCTGGTGACAGCGCTGGGGCTGAGCTGAGCTCGAGCCCCAGGGAGTGGCACGTGCCAGCTGTGCCACCTGCCCCTCCAGCTGTGCTGGTCCCTGCACATCTGGCAGCATCTGCCACGGGCCCCTGGGGCCATCCCCAGCTGCTCTGCTGGGTGCAGCTGCATCAAAATACCCAGGCCAGAGGAGCTGGGATAGCAGAGCCCCAGAATGCTCGGGATGAAGGACCTCAGCATCCTGGTCCCCTAGCAACCGCGCTCTGGTCCCCTAGCAACCGCACGGTGATGCTGTGGCAGCCACAGGCCGGGCGTCAGCAGGGAGGCAGGGAGGGGCTGGGCAGAGCCTGGGCAGGGAATGGGCAGAGCCTGGGGAGGGGATGGGCAGAGCCCGGGCAGGGGATGAGCAGAGCCCGGGCAGGGGATGAGCAGAGCCTGGGCAGGGGATGAGCAGAGCCTGGGCAGGGGATGAGCAGAGCCTGGGCAGGGGATGGGCAGAGTCCGGGCAGGGGCCGGGCAGGGCTGCTGGAGGCTCCCCCAGCCCCACAGCTGCCCTGAGCCCGAATGGGAATGAGTGAGGAGCCGCACCCCGGCATCAGCTCAGCGTGCCTGGGCAGAGGGACACGACCTCCGAGAAACCCTCAGAGGGTGAGGGAGCTGAACAGGGGGCTGGGGAGGATGGGGGTGTTCATCCAGGAATTCACCCTGGGGCTCCTCAGCTCTGGGTTTGTGTGCCCAGGGTATGCTCCTGGCCTTGCAGGAGGAGGTGCTGGACATGCTGGAGGCTTCTGTGGCTCTGGAAAAAGAAAGGGACATTCCTGTGGTCCCCTGGAGCAGTCTGCAGCTCCCTGGGCTCCTGCTGGAGGGGGAGACCCCCGGGAATGGGGCTCTGTCCCGGCACGGGGAGCAGGGGAAGCGCTGCGCCACTCCAGGGCTGCCCCGAGGGCCCTGCTGCTCTCCCGCTGCCTCAGGCCAGTCCCTCTCCTCCAGAGGACGAGATGGTGTCCATGGCCGACTCCAGCCCCACCATGGATGACATCGAGGGAGAGCTCTTCAGGATCGGGCGGATTCGGGAGATGCTGGTGCGCCGGGAGTCGGAGCTGCGCTACATGTGAGTGTCTGTCCCTGCGCTGCCCCTCGGGCACTGCCCGGCTCCCTCTGGCCAGCTGGCACGGCTCAGCCCCGCTATGGGCCTGCTTCCACCTTCTTCCCATCCCAAAAACCCGTCAGTGCCCAGCTCCCCCCTGCCAGCTGGCACCGCTCAGCCCCGCTATGGGCCTGCTTCACCTTCTTCCCATCCCAAAAACCCGGCCAGTTTTGGGATGAATCTCTCCAGGCCCTTCACACCCAACCCCTGTGTGCGGTGGTGCCCAGCAGCCCCTGGGGCACACAGGACATTTTCCCTGGTTCTGTGCAGAGATCTCGTGTGTTTGGAGGAGAAGGCCTGCCTAACAGCCACGGTTTGGGTTTGTTAAGTGTTTTAATGTCACTAAAGGGCTGTAGTTAGCCCAGCCCTCGGATCCCGCCCTGCCAGCCCAGCCCAGGATGGGATTTTGGCAAAGGCAACATTTCCTGTGCTGCCTCTTGGATGTGACTGGGTCCCCACAGCCTGGCAGTCCCGGGGTCAATCCCGTCCGTGGAAGTTTGAGCTCCTTCAGAGGCTCAGATTTGGAGCCCCGTGAGGCACACCTCGCCCTGAAGTCATTGTTGGAAAGGAGTTTTGGAAACCTTCAGGAGTGGAGCTCTGGAAGGCTTTCCATGGCAACGGTACCTGATCCCCCCAGGTGCTGTCAAAGCTCCCAGCTCCGGGGCTTCCTTAACCCCTTGTTTGCCTCGGAAAGCAAAGGGAAAGCTCTGGAATTCCCTGGGAGGTGCAGCTCCACCCTGGGCCCCGATGCTCCCTGTGTCTCCAGCAGGGGTAGAGGCAATCCCAGCCCCACAGGAGCCTCCTGGGTGCTCGTCCCTACAACCCCTCCAAATTTTAATTGAAAAAAGAATTTATTATCTTTTATTCCCCCATCAGTTTTTCCTGAATTATTTTCCATTTAAATGCAACAATCATCCAGCTCTCATCGGGACTGTTCATTTTCATTTAAATCAGTTTAAATCTCCAGCAATCTGTTGTCCTGTGGCCCCCTGGCGCTCTGCACACCCTTTCATGTTTCTACCTTTATTTAATTCTGCAGGAAGGTGGCATAAAATAGATCTTTCTCTATGGCAGCAGCTCCCACTTCTTTTAGGGTTTTGCTCTTTGGGATTATTTTCTGGGACCAGGAGAAACGCAGCAGCTCTTGACTGGCGGATGGGCCAGGTTTTGATAAGGCTTTGTTATCTTTAAGGTGATGGAACTTTTTCTCTGCCATGCACCAGCACCCCAGGAAAACTCTGGGATGAAGTGGGCTGGCATTTCCCATTTCCCTTCTCCTCTCCTCTCCTCTCCTCTCCTCTCCTCTCCTCTCCTCTCCTCTCCTCTCCTCTCCTCTCCTCTCCTCTCCTCTCCTCTCCTCTCCTCTCCTCTCCTCTCCTCTCCGGTTGTGTCTCCGCAGGATGGACGACATCCAGCTCTGCCAGGAAATCAGCCGGCTGAAAACGGAGCTCCAGAAATTTCTGGCCCTGCCAGGTGAGGCTCAGAGTGCTGGGATCCTGCTGGGATCCCTGAGGGTTCTGGGATCCTGCTGGGATCCTGCTGGGATCCTGCTGGCGCTGGGATCCTCAGGATTCCGGGATCCCCGGGGTCTTGGCAGGGGGGTGGCCCTGTGGGGGTGTGAAACGTGCTCCCTGTGGCTGTGGATGGGCTCCCTGTGCTGCAGAGAACCAGAAATCCCACGAGGAGAAGCAGAGGGAAGAGGAGCTGGTGCAGCAGATCCACAAGCTGGTGGAAACGCGGGATTTCCTGGTGGATGACGTGGAGTTTGAGAGGCTCAGGTAGCGACTGTCACCTCCTGCTTGTGCTGGGGACAGAGCACCCCATCCTCGGAGCTGTGTCCTGCCTTCCCCGGGCTCCTGGGGCCTTGCTGCTCCTTTCCCAGCAGTGACGAGTTCTGTGTCCCAGGGAAAGGGAAGAGGACAAGGAAATGGCCGAGTTCCTGCAGAGCAAGCTGTCCAAAAGCTGCCTCCAGAGAGCGAGTGGGTGCTGCGGGTTCCCTGCCTGTGCTGAACCTCCGGGGACTGCCTGGCCTGGGGAGGTGGGGGAGCAGCTCAGGGGGTGCTGCTGCTTGGGCTCAGAGCGTGGAACACCCGGGATCCATTTCCCTCCGGGCATTTCCCAGTGGAAACGGGGCTGGGGGGGCTCCCCGAGCTGCCAGCCTTCGCCTGGCCCATGAACATTGGCTCAACCTCGGCTGGGTGCAGGATGGGCACCACATCCTCTGGTGACAGCCGCCCCTTCCCTGTCTGTACCCTCCCCGGGGTGGTGGGAGACACCCCCAGAGCCCCAGGGCAGGAGCTGAGACACCCCAGAGCCCCAGGGCATGGGCTGGGACACCCCAGAGCCCCAGGGCAGGAGCTGGGACACCCCAGAGCCCCAGGGCAGGAGCTGGGACACCCCACAGCCCCAGGGCAGGAGCTGGGATCCCCCCAGAGCCCCAGGGCAGGAGCTGGGACACCCCAGGGCCCCAGGGCAGTGCCCTCGAGGGGCAGGAGCTGTGGCTCCTCGGGGTCAGAGCAGCCCCAGGGCAGCTCTGAGCAGCAGCCCCAGGCTGTGCCCTGTCCCCAGGCTGTGCCCCAGGCTCCTCTCCCCACAGCTCCTGTCCCAGAGAAGAGGATGACATCGAGGGGACAGCAAACCTCGGCTCCCTACGTGACCAAGACGGGCCTGACCCTGCTCAAGGAGTGCTGTGGCTTCACCTGCTCCATCATGTAGGGCACTGCCAGCCCCGGGCACAGGACACGGCTGTGGTAGGGGCACAGCCTGGGCATCTGGGATGGGCAGGAGGGCGTTCCTTGGTGCTGGCCCTTCCCTGGAGCTGGCTGGGTCTCCCTGGAGAGCCCCACAGGGATGAGCCATGATTTTGGGAACAGGGCTGTGCCATGTCAGCAGCTCAGGGCAATCTTGTGGCTGCTGAGCCAGCCAGGCCGTTCCCAGCTGTGCCAGGCCGTTCCCAACTGTGCCAGGCCGTTCCCAGCTGTGCCAGGCAGTTCCCAGCTGTGCCAGGCCGTTCCCAGCTGTGCCAGGCCATTCCCAGCTGTGCCAGGCCATTCCCATACTGTGCCAGGCCATTCCCAGCTGTGCCAGGCCGTTCCCAGCTGTGCCAGGCCGTTCCCATCTGTGCCAGGCAGTTCCCAGCTGTGCCAGGCCATTCCCAGCTGTGCCAGGCCGTTCCCAGCTGTGCCAGGCCATTCCCAGCTGTGCCAGGCCGTTCCCAGCTGTGCCAGGCCGTTCCCAGCTGTGCCAGCAGCTCAGGACAGAAGGATCAGAATTCTGTGGGCATGGTACACCCCCAGAGGTGCTGCTTGCCCGGGGCTGGCACAGCTCCTGGTGGCTCCATGCTGGCACAGCTCCTGGTGGCTTTGGGGCTGGCACAGCTCCTGGTGGCCCCAGGCTGGCACAGCTCCTGGTGGCTCTGGGCTGGCACAGCTCCTGGTGGCCCCAGGCTGGCACAGCTCCTGGTGGCTCCATGCTGGCACAGCTCCTGGTGGCCCCAGGCCCTCCCTGGCAGCGCAGACACCACGTCCCACCTTGGCCCGGAGGCCGTGCCAGCAGCAGGGAGCCCCTGGCACGGGACAGAGCGTCCCACACCGGGCTGAGGGATGAAAACCTCCTGGAGCTGCTGCTCGGAGAACGTCCTGCTCCACCCTGGGAGGGTCCGTGGGGAGGTTCCTGCCCGGGGCTGGTCCTGTCCTGGAGCTGATCCCGTCCTGGGCCACTCCAGAGACTCTCCAGCGCTGCCTTGCTTGGCCCACAGGGATTTGCTTTGTTCCACACACCAAAGGCTCCTCTCTGCCCTGCCCTCCAGGGCCTCACCCGGACAGGGAGTGACCCAGCCAGGGAGTTGGGTGGGGCAGGGCTGGGAGCAGTGCCAGGGCAGGTGGAGAAGGGCAGGCAGAGGAGGGGCAGGCTCTGTCCGTGTGTCCCTGTCCGTGTGTCCCACCTGCGGCCGCTCCCCGGGCACTGTGGGAAGGGCTGGGAGCGGAGCCCAGCCCTCGGGAGGGACACTGCTTCATGTGCATCCATCTCAACCCAAACAAATAAACCTCTGCTGGAAGCTCCCAGTGCTTTTCCTCCCTCAGGAGCTGTGACCCAGCAGGGGCAGGGTGGGCAAAGAGGGACAGAAGCTGACCCTGGATGGTCAGGCTGGGCTCGGGAGCAATGTCCCCATGTCCCCACCTGTCCCTCGCAGGGCAGGGCACAGCTGTGTCCCCGTGTCCCCACCTGTCCCTCGCAGGGCAGGGGCAGAGCTGCTCTCATCCCATGAGCTCCTGCCACCAGGGAGAGGCACCCAGGTGGGTGACAGGGTGGCTGTGGGTGGCTGTGGGTGGCAGGGGAGGGGACAGCTGAGCCACTTCTCAGGAGGGGTGTGGATGGGCCCATCCCTTGGGCAGTGTCACCGCTGGGATGAGAGGCAGGGGCACGGAGGCACAGCATCCATCCCCTGTGCCCTGATTTTCCGGAGCAGGCAGCAGCTCTTGGTGGCACCGTCAGTGTCCGTGAGACCTCTGGGAGTCCCAAGAGCCACGCAGGGCTCACTCCCCACTGCTTTTCTCTCTCTTGGGCTTCTGAGTCTTTGGGCTCACAGAAGAGCAGGGAGGATCAGCAGGAAATGAAGAGATGCCTTAAAATATTTGCTGTTTTTTTAGTCTGCAATATCTGCGGGGTTCTCTCGTCCTCCCCTTTCCCTGCCCGCCCTGCTGCTCCCTCGCGGGCAGGGCGGCTCTCACAGAGCTCGGCCACGCTCCTTCATGTCCTCCGTGAAGTCCTGGAGGTCGTGGATGAGCTGCCGGATCTCGGGGGAGGGGGAGAGGGCAGGGTCAGGCAGGAGCGGGAGCGGGGGGCAGAGGGGAGCCTGTCCCTCCTGGAGATATCCCCAAGCTGAGTGACAGCACAGGAAAGCCCGTGCAGCACCAGAGAGTGCCTCTGTGGGGGAATGGACTGGAACCAGAGCCTGGCCATGCATCAAACCCTGGATCTGCATCCCTGTACCCCTCCCTGAAACCCTGCATCCCAATATCTCTGCACTCCTGCACCCCAAGCCCCTGCATCCCCATATCCCTGCACACCAAAACCCTGCATCCCTGAAACACTGAAAACCTGAAATCCTGCATCCCCATATTCCTGCACACCAAAACCCTGCATCCCTGAAATCCTGCATCCCCGAAATCCTGCATCCCCATATCCCTGAAACCTTGAAATCCTGCATTCCCATATTCCTGCACCCCCATATCCCTGCACCCCCGCACCCCAGTATCCCCACAGCCCTGTACCCCTGTCCCTGCCTGTCCCCCAGCCCTGCTGCCCCCCAGGACCCCTCTCCCTGCTCTGCCTGCTGGGAAGGGACAGGTTTGCCTGTGCCCCAACATTCCCAGGAAGGGACAGGTTTGACTGTGTCGCACTGTTCCCAGTGCCAGGGAGCCCAGAAGGGACAGGATTTCCTGTGTCCTCACATTCCCAGTCCCACTGTTCCCAGGAAGGGACAGGGTTTGCTGTGTCCCGCCATTCCCGGTGCCAGGGAGCCCTGGGCAGAGGGTGGCTGTGCTGGGCCGGGGGCTCCCCTCGCCCTGGCAGAGCCATCCCTGCCCTCCTGGCCTGGGTGGCCGTGCTGGCGTTACCGTGTCCAGCTGCCCGTGGCTGTCCCCAGCTGCCACCCTGCCCTGCGGCTGCAGCCGTGCGCTGGCAGCGTGGAACATGCTGTGGATGGCCATGGTGAGGGACTTCAGCTCCGTGGCCTTCCTGGCAGCCCTGTCCTGCAGCTCGGCCCAGCGATCCTCCTGGGGACACCAGACACGTCCCAGCACGGCTGTTTCACCCCATCTTGGACCCCGAATTCCAGATTTCTCTGGGCTGGGAAGGAGCTGGCACAGCCTGGTGTGCCGGGAGCAGAGCCAGGAGCCAGCCTGGCTGTGTTGCAGCCCTGCAGTGCCCACACTGGCACATCCCCTGCCAGCCCCGTGCCCGCCCCGCAGCAGGGACAGCTCCCTGCAGCGCTGCCACTGCCACCTGCCAGCCCCGCTGCCCCCAGCTCTTCTGGTGGCAAACCTGCCCCACAGCCACAGCCGGGCTCTGCCTCCTCCTGCAGCCCTGCAGGGATGAGATCCGGCATCTCCTCCCACCTCAAACTGCTGCCCTGAGGGTCGGGCATCTCCCCCCACCTCAAACAACTGCTGCCCTGAGGGTCGGGCATCTCCCCCCACCTCAAACTGCTGCCCTGAGGGTCCGGCATCTCCTCCCACCGAGCATCTCCTCCCACCTCAAACAACTGCTGCCCTGAGGGTCGGGCATCTCCTCCCACCTCAAACAACTGCTGCCCTGAGGGTCGGGCATCTCCTCCCACCTCAAACTGCTGCTGGGCCCTGCCATGAACCCCTGGCTGCAGGAGGAGCCACTCCTGGCCCCCAGGCCTTGGAGAGCCCCCCCGAACACCCCACAGCTCCTTACCCACTGGTGGATGTCACTCCGAGCCTGCTCAAAAGATTTCCTGAGCTGCACCAGGTCGTTCTTGCACTGCAGCATCTCAGCCTCCTTCTCTGCCCTGATCTGCTGCTGCAGGTCCCTGCCCTGCTCCATCAGCTGCCGCTGCCACCACTGGGACTGCAGCAGGTCCTTGCGTGTCCTCAGCAGGGCCTTGTAGCAGGTGATGAGTTCATCGATGTCATGGAACTGCAGCACAGGGTCCTGGCTCAGTGACACCCTGTCCTGGGACAATGACACCCTGTCCTGGGCTCAGGGACACCCTGTCCTGGGCTCAGGGACACCCTGTCCTGGGTCAGGGACACCCTGTCCTGGGTCAGTGACACCCTGTCCTGGGTCAGGGACACCCTGTCCTGGGTCAGTGACACCCTGCCCTGGGCTCAGGGACACCTTGCCTGGGTAGTGACACCCTGCCCTGCCCTGCCCTGCCTGGGTTCCCCTGCCCTCAGCAGGGCCAAGGCTCCCCCTGGAAGGTTCTCCCTCCTCCCCGGTCCCTGCTGGTCCCTGAGCACGGCCACGTCCCCTGGGGCAGCAGAGGAGCACGAGGGGTGCAGGGAGAGGTGCCCCGGCACCCCGGGGAGCAGGCACAGCTTTCCTCACAACCGCCCCGCTCCCGCTCTGGGCAGCTCTCAGCTCTCCCAGACCATCGGTGGGACCTGGAATGGTGGCACCAAGGGGACCCTGCTGCCCTCAGCGCTGAGCTTTCCTCTTTCTCATGGTTTTTGTTCCCTTTTCTCAATCCTTCCTCTGTTCTGGCTCTCTCCTGACCCTGCTCCCTGTGGCCACCTTGTTTGCCAGGGAACCCTTCCCACCCCTCCTGGAGCCCTGCCTCTGGTCAAGTGTTGATTTCCCTGGCCCTGCCTCGTCCCCTCTGGTCAAACCCAGGTGAGGCCCATCCTGAACCTCGTCCAAGCTCACCTGTGAGTTCTCCACCACATCCTCCAGGTACCTCTTGAACAGGGAGTACTTCTGCAGTTTCTTTGAGAGCTTCTGGCGCTGTTTCCTCAGGGCTTCCAGTTCCATCCTCGCCCTCAAGGCCTCGCTCTCCTTTTTTGAATTCTCCTCTCTCTCTTCTTTTGCTTTCTTCAGAGCTTGGGTTCGCAGCCTTTCCTTCTCCTGGGGGGTGTCCCACACCACACTCAGCCAGAGGGGGAGGGAGGCACGGGAAGGTGGAGCTGGGTCACCCAGGGCACTGCCAGGACACGCTGGCACTGTGGGAGCACTCCCCTCCCTGTCCCAGGGCCACCCTGGCAGTGTCCCTCGGGCCTGGGGGCAGCCCTGCGGTGGGGCTGTGCCCTCCAGAGCAGCCCCTCCTCGCCAGGGCACCAACCCCGGCCCGAGGGAGGCGCAGCGGGAGCGCTGAGCCAGGGCTCTGCCAGGGAGAGTGGTGAGCGGGGCAGTGTGACACGTGTGCCACGTGTGCCAGGTACGACAGGTGTATCAGGTGTGATAGGTGTATGTGGTGTGCCAGATGTGCCACATGTGCCAGGTGTGCCAGGTATATGAGGTGTGCCAGGTGTATCAGGTGTGCCGATGTGCCAGGTGTGCCAGGTGTATGAGGTGTGCCAGGTGTATGAGGTGTGCCAGGTGTATGAGATGTGCCAGCTGTGTCAGGTGTATCAGGAGTGCCAGGTGTGCCAATGTGCCAGGTGTGCCAGGTGTGTGAGGTGTCCCAGGTGTATGAGGTGTGCCAGGTGTATGAGGTGTATGAGGTGTATGAAGTGTATGAAGAGTGCCAGGTGTGCCAGGTGTGCCAGGTGTACCTTTACAGTCGCCCCCGATGCCACCACGTGTGCTTTCAGCTGGGCCCTCCTGGCGTGCAGGTCTCTCCACTGCTCGGCGAGTGCCTCCATCCTCTCGATGAAGGCCTGGCAGTGGCAGAGCGAGGGTGGTACCGCTGCCACCGCCAGAGCCACCCCCACCCGCCTGCTCCTGCCTCTCTCGGAGCCCCCGGCCTGTCCCAGCGCCCTCGCAGCTCCCTCACCGCCTCTGTCTCCTCCACGGCCTTCTGCGCCAGCCGCACCTCCTTCATCTTCCTCAGCACGCAGACGAAGGAGCTGCTGGAGTCCTCCTCGGCCGCCCGCAGCTCCCTGCCGCATTCCCCGAGCTCACAGCCCATCCCGGGGGATGCTCCGGGGGCTGGGCCGTGCCCCGGCCGTGGGCAGGACCCCAGCCCCACCGGGACCCCCCCCCGGCAGCGCGGCCCCTCCGGCCTGCCCTGCAGGGACCCGGCAGAGCCAGGGCAGGGGGGGACGGGAACGGGAAAGAGATGGGAACAGGTAAGGGACGGGGATGGGAAAGGGAAACGGATGGGAATGGGAAAGGGATGGGAACGGGAAAGGGATGGGAACGGGTGAGGGATGGGAGCAGGTAAGGGATGGGAACGGGTAAGGGATGGGAATGGGAAAGGGACGGGCACGGGAAATGGACGGGAGCTTGCAGGGCAGGGAAGGAGGGCTGCAGACACAGGGGGCTGCAGGATCCCTCACCTGAGCAGGGGCAGGAGCCTGCTCCGGTACTGGCCCTGGTAATAGCTCACGTCCTCGTGTGCCATCCCTGCTGGCCGGCCTCGGGGCAGCCCCGGGGCACTGCAGAGCCCTGGGGCTACTCCAGCCCACCGGGACAAGCCCTGGGGCTACTCTCGGTCCCGGAGAGAGGCACTGTGGCTCCCCCAACACTGTGAGAGCTCCAGCGCTACTCCTGGCACTGTGACAGCTCCAGATGTTCCTGCACCCATTGTGACAGCTCCAGGGGCTCCTCCTGGCACTGTGACAGCTCCAGGGGCTCCTCCCAGCACCGTGAGAGCTCCAGGGGCTCCTCCTGGCACTGTGACTGCTCCTGTGAACCCCTTGGCATCGGGGGACTGGCCACTGTGTCCAGAACGTGGAATTTTTGCATTCCCTTCTCTTTTTCATTCATCTTCACTTCTTCTCTGCCCAGATTTGGCACTTGTGCCCTCTGCTGCCCTGGGCGTGTGTCAGGGCTCCTGGCAGCCACATCCCCACGTCCCAGCACCCCAGGCCCCTTTGCCAAAGCCTGGCTGGAGCCCAGAGCTGGCCCAGCTCAGGGAGGGCTGAGAGCTGCTCTGAGCTCTGAGCTTTGCCCAGGGCTCCCTCTCTGGGCCAGGCTCAGCTTTCCCCTTTGCCAAGAAGCAGCTGCTCGATTTTTAATTGATTTCATTTTATTGAGCTTTATAGACAATGTGTAAAATAGATAAAATAAAATCTATAGCATAAAAATATCTAAAGAGGCAGATTTGCTGGCTTAATAAAAGTTTTGCTTGCTCTTCCCCAAAGCACTTCCACAAACAGAAGAAATGAGAGGGTTTTTAGTATCTCTGAAGTTCTCACTGATTTTAGTTACACCAAGGAATCCCGGGCAGCTGGGGACATCTCCTGGCCGTGGGATGGAGCAGCCCTGCTGGAAAACCAGCCCGGAGCAGAGCCCGCAGCTCCGCTGCCTGGCCACGGCAGCGCAGGGTGAAGGCACAATGGAAAATGGGGGAAAACCCCCCTTTTTGCTAAAAGTAGCTAAAGCCCACTTCTTTTAAATCACTGCATTCCCTTAACCACCCTGAACAGCGAAGCAGAGCCTGCCTGCTGCTCCTGGACACATTTCATTTGACAAGTCTGACTTTCCTCTTCACCCCCTGAAAACACCCGCCACAATCAGCATTTCCAGGCCATTAACCCTTCTCTCAAACGCCAGATCCACACACAGCCCCGGCTCAGGCAGGAGAGCAAAGTTGGGTTTCTGGCACAAGCTTCAGGCCCTGAGCTGTCTCTGCCTGTTCCCCCGAAAACCAGACCCACAGGGATGATTGGGAAGGAGTGGGAATTCACCCCGCGGGAGGAGGTGGCAGAGTCACTTTGCTGTCCATAGCTGGCTACCAGCTGAGGAGCAAGGCTGGGTTGTTTTTACCCCTTTCTCCTCTCTCTTCTCCAGGAATTAACTCACTGGGTGCTTTAAACACATGGAAGGACAAAGAGAATTTTTCCAAGTCTGTGCCCAACGTGGTTTGTGTGTTACGGACACAGCACCTGCATGGCTCCCGCCAATCCCAAAAACGTGGAGAACACTGCATTGAACTGCCCCAGAACAGCACAAAGGACACATGGCTGACAAAGTCCCTGAGCACAGACCCCACTGCAGCCAGAGGACAAAAGAGTCCATTTCCATTACAGAAAAAAAGACTCCAGTGGAAGCTTTAAGATCAGCTCAATGGAACAGAGTTCACAGATGGTAAGTGATGGATTTTAATCTTACCCTACAGGTTTTCTTGTTCTATTTTAGATTTTGTGCTCTATTTTTGGCTCAGCAACAAGCAAGGAGTTTGTCAGCTGTGCTAATTGCAAAATCCTACAAAAAGAAAACCCTGTTTACGTTCTCCCTAAAAGCCAATACTGCACAAAGACATTTTTCCTGCGTTACAGCACTCAGGAGGCACAGGACACGCGGCTGCTCAGCCGTGGGTTTCTCAACAGGCATTTCTGTTATGAAAACACCTCTCTCCTTGCTGGAACCTTGTTTAGAGTAGAATCAAACCCTGCCAAATATTCCTCTCTACCTGTTAATGGATGAAAGGAAGCTGGAGAACGCAGGCCATGGGACAGGTGATTTTATGGAGGAGTCAGTCACCCGTGCAATGTTTCCACAAACACAACCCCGGAGAGTTCCAGCCCCAGAAAGGCTCCAAACAGCACCAGCCCCACGTTCCATCGGGGTTTGGGCTCCTCAGAGGTGCCACTGATGGCAGCAGAGAACTTTGCCCTCCATAAATACAGACTGAGCAGCAAGTTTTTATTGGTCTTCTATTGTTGAGGTGTATCTGTGCAATTCTGACACTTCACCATCCAGAAAGCAGGAATTTAATCTGCACCTCTGAACACCACAGCCAGAGAAAATCCTGCTCCCAAATCCCACTTATTGGGGTTTCTGAGACCTCCCATCCAAAACCCCAGCCCCATACCCTGCTGAACCCCCTCCCTGACTGAGGCACGATGATAACAATCGTGATAACGATATTGATAACGAGAATGAGCGCATCTCCTCAGCACGTTCCCGTTCCCGGGGCTGATCCCCGCTCTGCTCCCCCGTTCCCAGAACTGATCCCCGCTCTGCTCCCCCGCTCCCAGAACTGATCCCCGCTCTGCTCCCCCGTTCCCAGAACTGATCCCCGCTCTGCTCCCCCGTTCCGGGCTGGGCTCTGTCCCCCGGCCCGGCTCTCCGCACACCCGGAGATGCTCCCGCAGCCGCGGCCATCAAACATTCACGGCCTTCGGCTGTGCTGCTCAGCCCGAGCCCCACGGCCTCTACATATTTCATATTTCACCATTAAAAACTCATGAAGCGACATTTCCTCTTGCCCCGTCCCTAATTCACTTCCATCTCCATCTCCGGAGCGTCTGTCGGAGGTGTCAGAGCTGCGGGGGTGGGGGGTGGCAGAAGAGGCTCTCCTGGGGAAGGAAAATGAGGATAAGGCAGCTGACAGGGTCCGGGGAACCCGGACAGGCTCTGGGGCGGATCAGGAGAAGGAGATGAGGATAACTCGCACTGGGAGACCCCCTCGCCCCCGGCACAGCCCGGGGGCCTTTGCTGACCCTCGTCCCCTCTCCCGGGGGTCCCCGCTCGTCAGGGGCAAAGCGGGGAGGGGTGACAGGACAGCCGAGCTGCTCCCGAGGGATTCGGCACAGCACGGAGCAGGCGAGGGAAAGGAGAGTCTCCCCAAGCAGGGAGCCGAGCTCGGGATGCTCAGGGAGATGCTGCAGGTACAAGCCGGGCCTGCAGGGAGGCAGGTCAGGAACAACCTGCAGCTGCTCTTATCACACCAGAAACAATCCGATTTTAAAGGCAAATAAACATCCTTTAAAAGCCTGGGATGCCTATAAAAGTGCCCGCTGAGCGCAGCCCGAGCTGAGAGTGGTGTGGCAGCGCTGCGGGACCGGGCCGGTGTCCCGGGAGCCTCTCGCAGCTGCTGGAGCCGCTTTTCCTCCGGCTCAGCTCTTCCGTGCGTGGGCACAGCGCTCACTGGGCAGCTCCGCAGCGCGTCCTGAGGCTGGGACCGATCGGTGCCAGCCGGTGCTCGGGGCACACCGGGACCGCCGGAGCCCCTCGGCCGGCCCGCAGCAGCCGCAGCCGAGCGGGAGCACGAAGGTTATCCCGGGGAAAATAAAGGGCTCGTTCACTGCTCCTGTTGCTGTTTGATGCTATCTCGGCCCACGGGGTGTTTACAGCCCCCGGCCGGGCCCGGCGCGGAACCGGGGCAGGAAGGGGCGATGCGGGCGCGGAGCTGCTCCACCCTCGCTGTGTTTACCCCAAATAAACCCCGCGGCCGCGGGCTGGCCGCACCTTAAGAGCGCGGGCAGGTGCGGGGCAGAGCGGAGCGCGGGGTGGCCGAGCTGGCCCACGCTGCGGGTGGGGCTCAGCCCGCCCCGCTCCCCATGGCCGAGCCGGCCGCGGGCGAGGACTCGGGCACCGGGCGAGGTGAGTGCGCCGGGCGGGTCAGAGGGGCTGGGCACAGCCCGGTGCCTGCCCGAGCCCCGCGGGGTCAGAGGGGCTGGGCACAGCCCGGTGCCCGCTATCAGCCCCGCGGGGTCAGAGGGGCTGGGCACGGCCCGGTGCCTGCCCGAGCCCCACGGGGTCAGAGGGGCTGGGCACAGCCCGGTGACTGCCCCGAGCCCCGCGGGGTCAGAGGGGCTGGGCACGGCCCGGTGCCTGCCCCGAGCCCCGCGGGGTCAGAGGGGCTGGGCACGGCCCGGTGCCTGCCCGAGCCCCACGGGGTCAGAGGGGCTGGGCACTGCCCGGTGCCTGCCCGAGCCCCGCGGGGTCAGAGGGGCTGGGCACATCCCGGTGCCTTCCCGAGCCCCGCGGGGTCAGAGGGGCTGGGCACGGCCCGGTGCCTGCCCGAGCCCCGCGGGGTCAGAGGGGCTGGGCACGGCCCGGTGCCTGCCCGAGCCCCGCGGGGTCAGAGGGGCTGGGCACGGCCCGGTGCCTGCCCCGAGCCCCGCGGCTCGGCCCGGGCGGGCAGAGCTGGAGCCTCCGTTCGGCACCCGGGGCCGGGCACGGCGGGGCTCGGGCTGATGCTCCGCGGTACCCGGGCAGCGCCCTGAGACAGCCGAGGTGAATTTGGGGCGCAGACAGCCCCGGACCCACCGCCGGTGATGTCTCAGGCTGGTTCCTGCGGCCAGGAGCCCCCGTGCCCGTGCTGGGGTCAGGCTGTGGCCGGGACAGGAGCGGCTCCGGACCCGGCAGCTCCGGCCCCGAGCCAGCCTGAGCCCGGCCCGCTGCTCCGGCTGGCCTCGGGCAAGCACCGAACTGAGCAGGAGAGCCAGAGTCGGGGCTGGGACCCGGCCCCGCACTTCTCGGGGCCCGGAGCTGATGGAGAGGGCAAAGCCTGAAACGCTTCCCTTTGCAGGGAGAGCAAAGAAATCCAGGACGTGGCCGTGAGGCTCCAGAGCGCCCCGAGCCAGGCTGGGGCGGCGAAAGGTGCTCAATAAACGCTCTTTGTCCTGCAGAGGTGCTCGGCTCGGCCCCAGTCACCATCGTGGTCACGTCCGAGGCCGACACCTGGGACATCGACACCTCCTCGTGCCGGGGCCGCGGGCCCTTCGTGGACTGGGACAAGGTGCCGGAGCCTCGGGGGCCGGCGCCGGTGCCGCGGGACGTGCTGGGCAGGCCCCCGAAGGAGCTGAAGCGGCTGGCGAGGGAAGGCTGCTGGGCCCGGAGCCACGCGGGCCGGGCCCGGCTCTACCCCCGGCTCATCCAGCGCGTCTCCTGCCGCCTCGTCACCCCCGACGCGCCCGCGTACCGGGACGTGGCCGGCCGGCTCTTCGGGAAGCGCAGCGTCAGCTCCCACCCGCTGCCCGAGTTCCTGGAGGGCTGCCCCGTGCCCACCTACTGCCTCAGCCCGCACGGGGTCACGGCCCTGAAGAAGATCCTGGTGTGCGTGGGCGCCCTGTTCCCCGACATCACGCACAGCCCCCTGCTGCCGGCGCTGGCCGCGCTGCTGCTGCACTACAGCGAGGACGAGGCCCAGTGCTTCGAGAGCCTCTCGCGCCTCATCGCCAGCAACGCTCCCCACGCCGCCTACATCGACCAGTCCTTCCTGGCCCACCAGGCCTCCTGCATGACCTTCGGGGACCTGGCCAGCAAGCACTGCCCGGCGGCCCACAAGCTCATCGCCGGCGCCGCCGACAACGTCCTCGAGGTCTACTCGGAGTGGCTGTCGTGGCTCTTCCCCGGGCTGCCCTTCGGCTACGCCGTGCGCGTGCTGGACGTGTTCCTGCTGGAGGGCCAGAAGGTGCTGTACCGCATCGCCCTGGCCCTGCTGAAGCAGTTCCGGCTCTCGGCGGCCCCGGCCGGGCTGCAGGGCTCCGACGTCAAGGCGGAGCTGCAGGCTTTCGTCAGGAACATCGCCGAGCACGTGTCCGCGGACAAACTCCTGGAGAGAGCCTTCGGCATCCGCCTCTTCTCCCGCAAGGAGATCTGGCTGCTCCACATGGCCAACAGGAAGGCCTTGGTGGAGAGGGGCATCACCGTGGTGCAGAGAAGGTGAGGAGAGCTCTGCGCTCCCCAGCTCTGGGGCCGAGCTGCCGCAATGTGAGTTCCTGTGGAGAGCCCCGGGGCAGCTGCAGGAACCTCCCACAGCTGTGGCTGGGCTGGGCCCTCGCAGCCCCTGGGGGACCCTGTCAGGGGACAGGGACAGCAGAGCTGGGGACCCTCTGAGGGGACACGGCACAGCAGAGCAGGGACCCTGTCAGGGGACAGGGACAGCAGAGCTGGGGACCCTCTGAGGGGACACGGCACAGCAGAGCAGGGGCCCTGTCAGGGCACAGCAGAGCCAGGACCCTGTCAGGGCACAGCAGAGCCAGGACCCTGTCAGGGCACAGCAGAGCCGGGGGTGTTGGCACAGAGCTCACGGTGCAAAGGGCAGGGCAGAACCTGCTGCAGGGGCTGTGGCCCGAGAAGCAGAGGGGCCCCAGCCCGGCCTGATGTCCCTCCCCTGGCAGGCCGTCCTTCCACCTGGCCGTGGACATGCAGAAGTTCAGCTCCAGCACTGTCACGGCGCAGGAGATGCGCCTGGTCTGGTCCTGGATCCCCGAGCGCTTCTCGCTCTTCCCCCCGCTGCTGCTCTTCTCCACCTCCCAGGACGGCTGCAGCCTGCAGAGGTGAGGCCTCACCTGCCCCGGGGCCGGGCGGCTCGGGTGGGTGGGGAGACCCGGGCAGGGCTTGCTGCTGGAGAAAGGAGCAGCACAGGTGACCTGGGCCACCTCTGGGGCTGCTGGGGACCCTCCTGGGCTCGATTCGGGCTCCTGAGTGTGGCTTAGGGGAGAGGGCAGAGGTGGCCCAGGTGGCACCAACACCTGGGCACCGGCCGGGGCACAGGGAGCCCCGTGGGTGTGCCAGGCGGGGATGTCCCCGAGTGCCACCCCGTGCCTGGCAGGCTGCGGGCGGCCAGGGACAGCAGCACACCCTGCCCAGGGCTCCAGCTCCCCCCGAGCCCGCCCTTGTCCATCTCTGCAGGTTCTACACGTGCTGTGAAGGCTACGAACCCACGGTGCTGCTCATCAAAACCACCGAGGGGGAGGTGAGAGTTTCCCAGGCAGGGCTGGGCAAGGGGACAGGCTGGGTGACCCCACGGGCACTTCTGGAGCGCCCAGGGGCCGTGTGGTCCCTGTCCTGCCCCGCCCGGGTCTGTGCCAGCTCCCAGGACAGAACAAACTGCCCCTCTGGCCGCCAGGACACACCTCAGCCGGGGTGCGGGGAAACAGGAGGAGAGTGAGGGGAGAGAGGCCACGAGTG